AATAGACCTACCAGCCAATTGACCTACCAGCCAATTGACTTACCAGCCAATAGACCTACCAGCTAATGGACCTACCTGCCAATAGACCTACCTGCCAATAGACCTACCTGCCAATAGACCTACCTGCCAATAGACCTACCTGCCAATAGACCTACCAGTCAATAGACCTACCAGCCAATAGACCTACCAGCCAATAGACCTACCTGCCAATAGACCTACCAGCCAATAGACCTACCTGCCAATAGACCTACCAGCTAATGGACCTACCTGCCAATAGACCTACCTGCCAATAGACCTACCAGCCAATAGACCTACCTGCCAATAGACCTACCAGCCAATAGACGTACCTGCCAATAGACCTACCAGCCAATAGACCTACCGGCCAATAGACCTACCTGCCAATAGACCTACCTACCTGCCAATAGACCTACCTGCCAATAGACCTACCAGCCAATAGACCTACCAGCCAATAGACCTACCGGCCAATAGACCTACCTACCTGCCAATAGACCTACCAGCCAATACACCTACCAGCCAATAGACCTACCAGCCAATAGACCTACCTGCCAATAGACCTACCAGCCAATAGACCTACCAGCCAATAGACCTACCAGCCAATAGACCTACCTGACAATAGCCCTACCAGCCAATAGACCTACCTGCCAATAGACCTACCAGCCAATAGACCTACCAGCCAATAGACCTACCTGCCAATAGACCTACCAGCCAATAGACCTACCTGCCAATAGACCTACCAGCCAATAGACCTACCAGCCAATAGACCTACCAGCCAATAGACCTACCTGCCAATAGACCTACCAGCCAATAGACCTACCTGCCAATAGACCTACCAGCCAATAGACGTACCTGCCAATAGACCTACCAGCCAATAGACCTACCGGCCAATAGACCTACCTGCCAATAGACCTACCTACCTGCCAATAGACCTACCTGCCAATAGACCTACCAGCCAATAGACCTACCAGCCAATAGACCTACCAGCCAATAGACCTACCTACCTGCCAATAGACCTACCAGCCAATAGACCTACCTGACAATAGCCCTACCAGCCAATAGACCTACCAGCCAATAGACCTACCAGCCAATAGCCCTACCTGCCAATAGACCTACCAGCCAATAGACCTACCAGCCAATAGACCTACCAGCCAATATACCTACCAGCCAATAGACCTACCTGCCAATAGACCTACCAGCCAATAGACCTACCTGCTAATAGACCTACCTGCCAATAGACCTACCTGCCAATAGACCTACCAGTCAATAGACCTACCAGCAAATAGACCTACCAGCCAATAGACCAACCTGCCAATAGACCTACCAGCCAATAGACCTACCAGCCAATAGACCTACCAGCCGATAGACCTACCAGTCAATAGACCTACCTGCCAATAGACCTACCAGCCAATAGACCTACCAGCCAATAGACCTACCAGCCAATAGACCTACCTACCAATAGACCTACCTGCCAATAGACCTACCAGCCAATAGACCTACTAGCCAATAGACCTACCAGCCAATTTGACCTACCAGCCAATAGACCTACCTGCCAATAGACCTACCTGCCAATAGACCTACCAGCCAATAGACCTACCAGCCAATAGACCTACCTGCCAATAGACCTACCTGCCAATAGACCTACCTGCCAATAGAGCTACCTGCCAATAGACCTACCAGCCAATTTGACCTACCAGCCAATAGACCTTCCTGCCAATAGACCTTCCTGCCAATAGACCTACCAGCCAATAGACCTACCAGCCAATAGACCTACCTGCCAATAGACCTACCTGCCAATAGACCTACCTGCCAACAGACCTACCAGCCAATAGACCTACCTGCCAACAGACCTACCTGCCAATAGACCTACGTGCCAATAGACCTACCAGCCAATAGACCTACCAGCCAATAGACCTACCTGCCAATAGACCTACCTGCCAATAGACCTACCTGCCAATAGACCTACCAGCCAATAGACCTACCAGCCAATAGACCTACCTGCCAATAGACCTACCTGCCAATAGACCTACCAGCCAATAGACCTACCAGCCAATAGACCTACCTGCCAATAGACCTACCTGCCAATAGACCTACCTGCCAATAGACCTACCTGCCAATAGACCTACCAGCCAATTTGACCTACCAGCCAATAGACCTACCAGCCAATAGACCTACCTGCCAATAGACCTACCTGCCAATAGATCTACCTGCCAATAGACCTACCTGCCAATAGACCTACCTGCCAATAGACCTACCTGCCAATAGACCTACCAGCCAATAGACCTACCAGCCAATAGACCTACCTGCCAACAGACCTACCAGCCAATAGACCTACCTGCCAACAGACCTACCTGCCAATAGACCTACCTGCCAATAGACCTACCAGCCAATAGACCTACCAGCCAATAGACCTACCTGCCAATAGACCTACCTGCCAATAGACCTACCAGCCAATAGACCTACCTGCCAATAGACCTACCAGCCAATAGACCTACCTGCCAGTAGACCTACCAGCCAATAGACCTACCTGCCAATAGACCTACCTGCCAATAGACCTACCTGCCAATAGACCTACCAGCCAATAGACCTACCTGCCAATAGACCTACCAGCCAATAGACCTACCTGCCAATAGACCTACCAGCCAATAGACCTACCAGCCAATAGACCTACCTGCCAATAGACCTACCAGCCAATAGACCTACCAGCCAATAGACCTACCTGCCAATAGACCTACCTGCCAATAGACCTACCTGCCAATAGACCTACCAGCCAATAGACCTACCAGCCAATAGACCTACCAGCCAATAGACCTACCAGCCAATAGACCTACCTGCCAATAGACCTACCTGCCAATAGACCTACCAGCCAATAGACCTACCAGCCAATAGACCTACCAGCCAATAGACCTACCTGCCAATAGACCTACCAGCCAATAGACCTACCTGCCAATAGACCTACCAGCCAATAGACCTACCAGCCAATAGACCTACCTGCCAATAGACCTACCTGCCAATAGACCTACCAGCCAATAGACCTACCTGCCAATAGACCTACCAGCCAATAGACCTACCTGCCAATAGACCTACCAGCCAATAGACCTACCTGCCAATAGACCTACCTGCCAATAGAGCTACCTGCCAATAGACCTACCAGCCAATTTGACCTACCAGCCAATAGACCTTCCTGCCAATAGACCTTCCTGCCAATAGACCTACCAGCCAATAGACCTACCTGCCAATAGACCTACCTGCCAATAGACCTACCAGCCAATAGACCTACCAGCCAATAGACCTACCTGCCAATAGACCTACCTGCCAATAGACCTACCTGCCAATAGAGCTACCTGCCAATAGACCTACCTGCCAACAGACCTACCTGCCAATAGACCTACCTGCCAATAGACCTACCTGCCAATAGACCTACCAGCCAATAGACCTACCAGCCAATAGACCTACCTGCCAATAGACCTACCTGCCAATAGACCTACCTGCCAATAGACCTACCAGCCAATAGACCTACCAGCCAATAGACCTACCTGCCAATAGACCTACCTGCCAATAGACCTACCAGCCAATAGACCTACCAGCCAATAGACCTACCTGCCAATAGACCTACCTGCCAATAGACCTACCAGCCAATAGACCTACCTGCCAATAGACCTACCTGCCAATAGACCTACCTGCCAATAGACCTACCTGCCAATAGACCTACCTGCCAATAGACCTACCAGCGAAGCTCATACACTGCACCGCCCGCTCATACGCTGCACCGCCCGCTCATACGCTGCACCGCTCGCTCATACGCTGCACCGCCCGCTCATGCGCTGCACCGCCCGCTCATGCGCTGCACCACCCGCTCATACTCTGCACCGCCCGCTCATACGCTGCACCGCCCGCTCATACGCTGCACGGCCCGCTCATACGCTGCACCGCCCGCTCATACGCTGCACCGCCCGCTCATACGCTGCACCGCCCGCTCATACGCTGCACCACCCGCTCATACGCAGCACCGCACGCTCATACGCTGCACCGCCCGCTCATACGCTGCACCGCCCGCTCATACGCTGCACCGCACGCTCATACGCTGCACCGCACGCTCATACGCTGCACCGCACGCTCATACGCTGCAGCGCACGCTCATACGCTGCACCGCCCGCTCATACTCTGCATCGCCCTCTCATACGCTGCACCGCACGCTCAGACGCTGCACCACACGCTCATACGCTGCACCGCCAGCTCATTCGGTGCACTGCCTGCTCATACGCTGCACCGCCCGCTCATACGCTGCACCGCACGCTCATGTGCTGCACCGCCCGCTCATACGCTGCACCGCCCGCTCATACGCTGCACCGCCCACTCATACGCTGCACCGCCCGCTCATACGCTGCACCGCCCGCTCATATGCTGCACCGCCCGCTCATACGCTGCACCGCCCGCTCATACGCTGCACCGCCCGCTCGTACGCTGCACCGCCCGCTCATACGCTGCACCGCCCGCTCATACGCTGCACCGCCCGCTCATACGCTGCACCGCCCGCTCATACGCTGCACCGCCCGCTCATGCGCTGCAGGTGGACTGTCCCCAGGTGGAGCAGCTGGGCATGTGTGTGTGGTAACCAACAAGTCACTACTCTCCGATAATAGTGGCTTGTTGACTGATTTTGGTCATTTTGAGCACGAGGTGGAGCAGAGTTGTAGCAGCTGGGCACGTGAGTGAGTTCTGGGTCTCGTGGATGTGTGTACGCCTGGTCCATGTATCCATGCCACAGGGTGTATTCCATCGAGCGCAATTCTTTCCTCTCACTTACCCTCTCACCCACCACCCATCGTGCATGACAGTGCGTTCCATCGAGCACATCCCACGGGGCTACAGATGCACGATGCGAAGCCAAACCTTCCTCTCCTTTCCCTCTCACTCACTCTCTAACCCTCGCTCACCCGCTCACCCTCCCTCTCATCCCACCCTCCACCCATCATGAACCACAGGGAATATTCCATTGAGCGCATTCCAGGGGGCTACAGGCGCTTGTTACAGCGCCCCTCCAACTACAACTGGTGAGCCAACTCTCCCTCTCACCCTCTCACTCTCCCTGATTCAAGCACACAGCTGTTACATTGCTCCTTGTATAAGCCTGTTCTCAACTACATCCCTCAGCCGTTTCCTTCACCACACCTCCTCTCCCACACCCCCTCCCGCTCCCACTTCCGTAACCCTTTCCCTTCATGCTGCATCCCCAACTCTGGCTCTCCTGTCCTCACACTTGTTCTCACCCTTATTCCCTTGCCCACTTTATTCCCCCACAACCCATCACAGGCGAGTGCTGGCGTACTGGCGTCCCACGCAAGTGTTGGCAGAGACTGATTTGGACCGCATCGCTGCTGCTGCCCTCGCAACTCCTGCCCCCACTCCCGCTACCTCTGCCGCTGCTCCTGTCTCTGCCGCCCCACCTGCTGCCCCATCTGTGGATCCAGCAGCAGACTCGAACTCAACAGCATCAGCAGCAGCAGCAGCAGTTGGTGCTGCTTCCACTGATGCCCCTGCTGCATCTGCTAGTGGTGATGCTGCTGCTACGTCTGGCAGTGACGCTCCTGCAGTTGTAGAGGCAGCGCATCTGTACTATGGGTTCAAGCAGCCAGGCTACAAGGGGGCGCTCAAACAGGCGCAGAGGGGAGAAGAAAAGGCAGGGGTTACTGCTGGCGCTGCTGCGCTCAGTGGGGTAGAGGCAGCAACAGGAGAAGCAGGGGCAGGAGGGGAAGCGGCAGGGACAGTGCCGGCAGTGGTGGTGTTGGCTTCATCAGATGGAGTGAAGCTGGGCAGAGATGAGCTGGAACGCCTAGGGATTGGGGAGGGGCCTATCGGAGCCCTGGTGGAGGGGGTTGATGGGGGGGAGGGCGAGCGTGGGAAAGGCGGAGCTGAGGCAGGTGCGGTGACAGAGGAGGCAGAAAAGGCGGAAGGGATTGTTGAGAGTGAGACGGAGAAAGGGGAAGAGGAGGGTGGTGATGAGAAGGAGGTAAAGCAGGGCGAATTGGACGCTGCAGCGGGTAGTGGGGAGGGGGAGGGGCAAGTGGCAGGGAGGAGGGGAGAGCGAGGGGTGGAGGGAGCAGCACATGAGGGAGTGAGGGTGGCGCTGCAAGTGGAGTTCACTCTGCCTGCGTCGGGATACGCCACCATGGCCATCCGTGAACTGCTTAAATCCTCCACTGCTGTGAGTGTGACCAACGATGTCTCATGATGCACTTCTGAGAACTCTCAAAAGGATCTCTTCCGGCGTCGGGATACGCCACGATGGCCATCCGTGAACTGCTTAAAGCCTCCACTGCTGTGAGTATGACCAACCGCCCACGTCTGATGATGCACAGCGAGCATGACGCCAGTTCCCTTCCATGATTGTCTGGTGGCCCTGCTGATGAATGCCGTCTGAAATGGCACAATTGTCTCCTGAACAACCCTCCCCCTCCATGTGAAGCATCTGTGAACGTGGCTGCGAGTCTGAGACTCTACGTTTCTTTCTTCCTGCCGTTGCTCTTGTGCTTGTTTGCAGGCTGGCGTTCACAAGGTGTTCAACGACAGGGAGGACGGCCAGGGCTGATATCTCAAGTGACTTTATCGACTCTTCACACGTTTCTTTCTTCCTGTCGCTCTTGTGCTTGTTTGCAGGCTGGCGTTCACAAGGTGTTCAACGACAGGGAGGACGGCCGGGGTTGATATTGGATTGGAAGTGCAATCTGGGCAGTGTGTTGCCACTCGACTCGACCTATACGCCTTTCAAAATACAGCTGAATTTTCATGTGTTCTAGTATTCCCAACCTGACCATGAGACTATCGTAAGGAATGCAGAATGCAGTGCACATTGCAGCGAGCGGGTGTGGTAATGCATGCAGTTACACGAGGAAACTGTGATTTTTTAGTGTAATATTGTGTTTTTGGCTGAATTGAGTTGCCCGGGTTCTCTGATTATTTGGCGCGCATCGTAACCAATATGGGGGCCTGCCTACAATTATTCATCACTAATCTGTACATTTGGGGCATGCCATCCATTATCCACACTGGCACAATATCAAGTTTCTACGACTCAAAATGAGCTCAGTAATACAGACAATTTATGGTTCATGTTGGGATGGTGGTGGTGAAAGATTATTTGCTTATGGAATATCTAATATATTACTATTACAAGCCCATAAAGTTATGAGAGGGCTCCTCTCTACTCCATTACTATGTGTATTGAGAATGGGGTGATGGGTGGTCGGCCAGTGTTTGAAATCTTTAAACGAGGAGGAAAGCGGCGTCGCACCAGAGGACACAAATTTGAATCCGTCCGTGGTCTGACACAAGTGAATCACCTCGGGAATGACGCATGGTGATGACGTCGGGTCATGTGTCATGACATCCACATCCACAGCATCTGGGGTGATGATTGGTCAAACTATATCATACACATCATGCGAAGTCTTACATCAGTTAGCTCGGCCGTGAGATCACCCGAGATGAAGAGAAGCGACTTCCCGCCATCACAGTGTAACAGTTCGTGATCACTCAAAATTTCGCACATGGCGGCTCTTGCCCGCGCACTCGCCGTCTGGTCGCCAAAGACGTTAGTCATCACTGATGAGACTCCCACCCCACCACTTTCCGCCGTTCCCGCCTTCAGCACACATCGTTGGCGGACTTTCTGCGATCATGGCTGCGCAACCCGCCAGCGAACTTTGCAGCGGCTTCCCCGCCTCGGGCTTGCCGTGGAACTCTGCCCCTTTGGGTGGAGGTGAGGGGAGCACTCCGCATGGCGACTCGACTTGCGGCTCCTTGCCGCTCAGTCGCTTCCCTTTCACCTTTCTCTTACCATCACCCCACCTCACTTCGCATCACCTTTTTCACCTTTCTTAAACACGTTTCAACGTTTCTAGCCGTTTTGCACCTTTCTAAAACCTTCATCACCGTACTGAAACTCGTTTTCCCCAAATCTTCGTCACTAAGTCACCTACAGCCAATTCCTCTCAGGCATTCCCTATGCAGGCTTTGTCTCAGAAACGAATCTTGTCACGTTCTCTAACTCGATTCTTCCGTAGCCATGGCTTCCTTAGATTATTGTACCGTGGAGGTAATTCTCGTGACGTGACCTATCCCCGACGCGCGTTAAGCTTAAGATTCTTAAGGAGGATTAGTAGGATCTTAGAGCCTAGTGAGAAAGATCAGTTTCTCATCGCTAGTATGACACATCGATCCGTGCTCGACGAGACGTGATGCTACAGTTTTCCCGGACGTTAAGCTTTGCTACGATGATTTATCGCGAAGTTTTAAGCCATCATCGCAGCGCTACTACTAGTATCAGTGCGACACCTCAGGCTCGTTAGAAAGCTTAGTTTTACAATCCGTTTCATCCTGACTGGACGACCGTCAGGTTCTGGAAGAATTGCCTATTCGTTTCATGCTAGCTCGTTTCGTCAGATCCTCAGTGCATCAGATTGATCGATTCGTTTTCGGTGTCATGATCGCGAGTCGCGACGTGGACCTCAGTCAACCACAAGTTGCTGCGACCTTCAATGATTAGGGACGTGCATCAGCGCTTCCCTATAAGACTAATCGCCTTGTGCGACGTTACAAGGAGGAGCTTGCATCGCTCACGATATTACTAATACGGAGGAGCTTCCCTCAACCTCAGAATTTGACGACGCGACGTTATTGCTGAGGATATTCTTCTGACGTTACTGCTTCGCGACTTTACTGCTGAGCGTATTCTTCGCGACGTTACTGCAGAGGATGTTCTTCGTTACTGCTGATGATGTTCTTCGCGACGTTACTGCTGAGGATGTTCTTCGTTACTGCTGAGGATGTTCTTCGTTACTGCTGAGGATGTTCATAAATCCACTGAGGAGCTCCTGAAGCCGTCGACGCGTGCGACGTTACTACTACTACTACCGACGACGGAACTAGCGACGTTAACGAAGACGCGTGGACGTCCGACTCTGACGACGGCGGTAGAGCTCGCGACGATGATCGACGTCTAATGGAGGATCTCGCGACGATGATCGGACGGAGGAGCAGCTCGCGAGACGGAGGATGGCGGAGGCGAAGGAGAACGCCGACGATCGCCGTCAATGAATGCGTGAGTTAGCGTTTTCCATTTCAACGAGTTTGCGTTTTCCGTTTCTGCAGTTGCTCTCGTGACGGATTGTGGTTGGTCTACTCGTTTCGTATCATGGCGTCACGCTCATGTCATGGCGTATCACTCTTTCAAGGAGCGGCAGTCGCGCTCCTTCAATCTACACGCTCGTTTCTTTCGCAGTCAATCTGCAGTTGCTTTCGGTCCTAGTCTGATCGTTTCACATCTCAGTCCTACGTTCTCCTTGTGACGCTTCATACGTTCTCCGTGCGTGCAGGAGCGGCACGAAACGCCCCCGGTGGAGCGTCACGGGAGCATCTCCTTAGATTTCCGATCGCTGGGAACTTGGGGGGCGAAGGAGAACGTTGACGCACCCGTTCAATGGCTGGTGTAAACGTTTTCCGTTTGCGGTGAGTTACCGTTTTCTGTCTCGATTCTGTAAAATCTGGACGCTAGTTTTCCAAATTCTGTCTCGATTCTGCAATCGGTTTTTATCCATTTCATCTCACTGGTCTACTCGTCTCGCTGGTCTCCACGCTAGTTTAATCAATCTGCAATCGCTTTCGGTCCATCTCATCTCGCTTATCTCATTCCTACTTTCTCCATCCGTGCAGGAGCAGCAAGCATTGCGGAAAAAAGGTGCATCAGGGGAGAGGCGCGGATGCATCAGGGGAGAGGCGCAGATGCATCAGGGGAGAGGCGCAGATGCATCAGGGGAGAGGCGCAGATGCATCAGGGGAGAGGCGCAGGCGAGAAAAGACGGCAGAGCCAACGCCAATCAACAACCTGCTAAGTTCCCACTCCCTGACCCCTTTTTCATGTTCCGTCCTCACCCCATCATTGCATCCTCTCTGCATGTCCTCCTCCTCCTCCTCTTCCTCCTCCTCTTCATCCTTCTCCTCCTCCTCCTCCTCTTCATCCTTCTCCTCCTCCTCCTCCTCCTCCTCCTCCTCCTCCTCCTCCTCCTCCTCCTCCTCCTCCTCCTCCTCCCCCTCCTCCTCCTCCTCCTCCGTCGTTGCTGGTTAAGGCAAACCCCACGGGTCACAGACCTTCCCCACTGTCGGTATTCTCCCCAAAACTTCTACTGCGGTATTCCCCCCTTCCTGGTTAACCCTTTGGTACTTCGGGGTAAATGCCCCCAGCGTAAGTACATGCATCCGGTTAACCCTTCGGTACTTCGGGGTAAATGGCCCAGCGTAAGTTCATCCGGCCTTTGCCCCCCGCTGCAACGACGAAGACCAAGTGTGAGAGTTAAAACACCTGCGTCTGTGGCTTGTGGGAGTAGCCTTGCCAGTAACAGCCCTCCCTCCTCCTCCTCCTCCTCCTCCTCCTCCTCCTCCTCCTCCTCCTCCTCCTCCTCCTCCTCCTCCTCCTCCTCCTCCTCCTCCTCCTCCTCCTCCTCCTCGCATACCATTCGCCTTATGTTAATCGTTGTTCTCCTTGCATTGTTTTCACTCTGTCGACTTGTAACCTCTACCCAGTTACTAACCTTCGCTGTGGGTTTGCAACTCACAATTCCTTGTGCAGGGACGGGGAGGCGTCGCTGGGGAAACGGAGTAGCGGCGACAGGAGCAGCATCTGCAGCGGCAGCAGCCGCAGGAGCAGCAGCGACAGGAGCAGCAAGTAAGTAGCTTCTTCCTTCGTGCATTCGTTGTTTTTCACTATTTCACTGTCAGTTTACTCTGTTGACTCGTAGCCTCTTCTCTGATCAACCGTGCAGGGAACATTAAGGTGTGGGTGCGAAGTCGGAGCAGCAGCGACAGGAGCAGCATTGGCAGCGGTAGCAGTGGCAGCAGGAGGAGAGCAGCAGACAGGAGCAGTGGCAGCAGGAGGAGAAACAAGTACGTAAGCGGAGCACTCCCATTTTTTCCTCCTTGCAAGCGTTATATTTCACTGTTAGGTTACTCTGTTGATTCGTAGCCTCTCCTCTGTTGACGCGTAGCCTCTTGTCTGACTAACCTTCCCTGCGGGATTGTTGCAACTCTCTGGTCGCTGTGCAGGGAACGTTAATGCGACCAGCAGCGTGGTTGGATCACGGAGCAGCAGCGATCAGAGCAGTAGTGACATCCTTCCAGCAGCAGCAGCAGCTGAGGTGACAGGAGGAGAGCTGCAGTGGCAGCAGCAGCAGCAGCAGCAGCTGTGGTGACATCCTTCCAGCAACAAACGGCAGCACTAGAAGGGAAGAGTGAAAGACCTGCCTTCTCTCCTCCTGACGTATGGAGGAGAGAAGGCGCCAGAGTCTACGCCAGCAATGCCAAGCTGTTACTTGATGCTGCAGCCAGGCGAGTCAGCGGAATGAGCTGAAGGCGCCAGAGTCAACGGCGGAGTCGTTGCCAGCAAGCTGCTACTGCTTGATGCTGCAGCCAGGCGAGTCAACGGCATGAGCTGGAGCTGCAATTCTCGCCAACGCTGAAGTCAGATGGAGCAGGGAGGAGAGGAGACAGCTGGACTGGCATCAGTTGGAGCAGGGAAGGGGGGAGACAGCTGGACTGGCATCAGGTGGAGCAGGGAAGGGGGGAGACAGCTGGACTGGCATCAGGTGCAGCAGGGAAGGGGGGAGACAGCTGGACTGGCATCAGGTGCAGCAGGGAAGGGGGGAGACAGCTGGACTGGCATCAGGTGGAGCAGGGAAGGGGGGAGACAGCTGGACTGGCATCAGGTGCAGCAGGGAAGGGGGGAGACAGCTGGACTGGCATCAGCGGTGGCAGCAGCAGTGGGAGCAGAAGAGAGGCCCGCAGTTACAGCAGCGGTGGCAGCAGCAGTGGAAGTAGAAGAGAGGCCCGCAATGACACCAGAATAGAGAAACAACAGTGACACCAGCGGTTGCAGCAGCAGTGGGAACAGAAGAGAGGCCCGCAGTGATACCAGCGGTGGCAGCAGCAGTGGGAGCAGAAGAGATGCCCGCAGTGGTACCAGCAGTGGAAGTAGAAGAGAGGCCCGCAATGACACCAGCAGACAGAACCAACGATGACAGCAGCGGTGGCAGCAGCAGTTGCAGGAGAAGAGAGGCCCGCAATGACACTACCGGTGGCAGCAGCAGAGAAAACCAACAGTGACAGCAGCGGTGGTAGCAGCAGTGGGAGCAGAAGAGAGGCCCGCAGTGACAGCAGTGGTGGCAGCAGCAGTGGCAGCAGCAGCAGCGGTGGCAGCAGCAGCAGCAGCGGTGGCAGCAGCAGCAGCAGCAGCAGCAGCGGGGAGCAGCAGTAGCAGCAGCAGCAGTGGAGGGAGGCGGCTGCAGGAGAAGAGAGGCCCGCAATGACACTTCCTGTTGCAGCAGCAGAGAAATCCAACAGTGACACCAGCGGTGGTAGCAGCAGTGGGAGCAGAAGAGAGGCCCGCAGTGACACCAGTGGTGGCAGCAGCAGCAGCGGTGGCGGCAGCAGCAGCGGCAGCAGCAGCAGCAGCGGCAGTAGCAGCAGCAGCGGGAAGCAGCAGTAGCAGTGGAGGGAGACGGCTGGGACCTGCTGGGAGGAGCATAGAGAGGATGTGAGGAGAGCAAGAGTGAGAGGCGAGCGGAGTGTTGAGAACTGCAGCAGGCTGCAGGGTGAGGGTGAGGGGAGGAGTGAGTGAGAGTTAGATTGAGAGTAGGGTGGGGTGTGAGGACCTCGTTTGCTGGTTTGAGGCGCCTCAAATCCAGTTGTGAGCTGCCGGTGGCAGTTCTGTTGTGTCCTGCAGTGCACTGCAGTGTTCCGTTCCTCCTCTCTTCTCTTCTCTGAGTTTTGAGATGCATCTCAAAACTCACTCCCTTCTCTTGTGTGTTTCAAGCGACGTCTTGAAACTCACACCCAATCTCTCTCTTTCTCCTCACTGCAGAGTCTCTGCAGTGAGCAAAAACAGGGTTTTGAGAGACGACTCATCTCAAAATCCTTTTGCCTGTTCCTCACTGCACGTTTTGCTGTGAGCAAAATTGCACAGCTGGTCCTGAAGCAAGACTGGAGGAAGGAGCAGCTTCAAGTGAGGCGCATGCTTTGCTCCCTGGGGGGCAAAGGATCAATTGTGTGCCTCCCTCTCTACTAGGTACAGCAACAGCGCGGAGGCAACACTAAAGGCGGGGCAATAGCGGAACGCAGCAGCAACACGGGACCCGCTGTAAGCTGCAGTCTGCTTTTCATTATTTTGTTTTGTCTAATGCCTAATGTTGCATGTTTTTGTGAGTTTTTCAGTTTTAGCCGCCAGCAAGACAATGAAGGCTCGCGCCCCCCTCAGTGAGTCTTGTTCCATTTCTGCTTGCTGTTTTCCCGCTCGTACTAATGTTATTTGTGTGCGTGTTTCAGACAGGGATCAAGGCACGACGGCTCGCGCCCCCCTCAGTGAGTCTTGTTCCATTTTCTGCTTTCCGTATTCGACGCATACTAATGTTGCTTTGTTTGTCTGATTTAGCAGAGCAGGAGGAGCGCTGGAGCAGAGAAGCGCCGGGGCAGGGGAGGAGCGGAGGAGGAGAGGAGGAGAGGAGGAGGAGAGGAGGAGGAGAGAAGGGGCAGAGGAGGAGGAGAGGAGGAGGAGAGGAGGAGGAGAGGAGGAGGAGAGGAGGAGGAGAGGAGGAGAGGAGGAGCAGAGAAGCAGCGGAGGAAGGAGGCTAAGGAGGATTCTCTGCCGTTGCCTCTGCCAGTGAGTATCCATTTCCTGCTCTCAATGTCTTGTTCGCTTTGGCATCGATTTTGAATCGCTTCTTGGCTATCACTGGGTGCAATCACTGGGTGCAATCACTGGGTGCAATCACTGGGTGCAAATCGCTGGGTGCTCATAGGCTTCTTCTTCCTTCCCATTCCGCAGGAGATGCATCGGAAGGGCGAGGATCAGCAGAGGAGAAGCGGAGGCGAGGAGCAGCAGAGGAGAAGCGGAGGCGAGGAGCAGCAGAGGAGAAGCGGAGGCGAGGAGCAGCAGAGGAGGCAAAGGAGCAAAAGAGAATCCCCTGCCACTGCCAGTGAGGAGCAGAGGAGATGGCGCAGAGGGGATGGGAGTAGCTGTGGAGCGAAAGAGAATCGCCTTCTTCTGCCAGTGAGTATCTCCTTTGCTGGTCTCTGTTGATGGTTATTGCTGCATTCGCTTTGCATTCATTCTGAATCACTTGTTGGCACGGGGTGCAATCAGTGCAATGAGCAGCAGTGAAGCGAACTCATGGCTTTTCTCCATTCCGCAGGAAATGAGATCTCGCAGAAGAGATGGCGCAGAGGAGATGTCGCAGAGGAGATGGCGCAGAGGAGATGGGAGTAGCTGTGGAGCGAAGGAGCAAGGAGTGATCCTCTGCCACTGCAGAGGAGGCGAAGGAGTGAAGGGGAATCCTCTGCCACTGCAGAGGAGGCGACGGAGTGAAGGGGAATCCTCTGCCACTGCAGAGGAGGCGAAGGAGTGAAGGGGAATCCTCTGCCACTGCAGAGGAGGCGAAGGAGTGAAGGGGAATCCTCTGCCACTGCAGAGGAGGCGAAGGAGTGAAGGGGAATCCTCTGCCACTGCAGAGGAGGCGAAGGAGTGAAGGGGAATCCTCTGCCACTGCAGAGGAGGCGACGGAGTGAAGGGGAATCCTCTGCCACTGCAGAGGAGGCGACGGAGTGAAGGGGAATCCTCTGCCACTGCAGAGGAGGCGAAGGAGTGAAGGGGAATCCTCTGCCACTGCAGAGGAGGCGAAGGAGTGAAGGGAAATCCTCTGCCACTGCAGAGGAGGCGACGGAGGAGAGCAGAGCAGCCGAGGAGAAGGAGCAGCGGAGGAGACAAAGGAGTGACGGAACAGAGGAGCGAAGAAGGAAGGAGGGAAGGGGCGGAGGAACGAAGGAGCGGAGGAGCAAAGGAGTGGAGGAGGGAAGGAGCAAGGATCGAAGAAGCAGGGGAGCGACGGACGGCTCAGCTGAGGAGGTGGAGCAGCAGAGGAGACGAGGAGCAGAGGAGCAAGGAGCACAGTGGTGGATGAAACCTTCACTGCACCATCGGTCTTCGCCGTACGGTGATCCTCTTTCTTGCTGTATCTGTTTTGTTTGTTTGATTCTTTATTCGTTTCGCATCTGCTTTGAGTTATTCATGCATTGGGTGCAATCAGTACCATGCTCTCATCGGCCTTGTGCCATGCCCCTCCCATCACAGACGGTCGGTCGAGGCAGAGAAGCGGTGGAGAAGGAGCAGCAGAGGAGACGAAGCAGCAGAGGAGACGAAGCAGAGGGAGGAGACGAACGAGGGAGGAGCGGAGTGCTGCTTTCTCGGTTTTGGAGACGGCAGCTGCTACCTCGCTGAGCGCTGCAGAGTGAAGGGGGGAGCAGAATGAGGGAGGAGCGGAGTGTTGAGTTCTGCAGCAGGGGAGCAGAGGAGAAGGCCTATCTACGCTCCTACCTCTCTCTCCACTCATAGAGACGGCAGCTGCTACCTTGCTGATAGGCAGCAGCAGGGGAGCAGAGGAGACGGCCTATCGCTCGCTCCTACCTCCCTCCAGTGTGCTGCTTCTGGTGCTGTGGAGTTATAGGGGGAAAGGTGAAAAGGAGTGGAGGAGCAAAGGTGGTGTGCAGCAACAAAAAGAGAAGCAGCTGCAGAAGAGATGGTCAGCAGCAGTGGCAGCAGCAGTGGCAGCAGAAGAGAAAACCAACAAAGACAGCAGCGGTGGCAGCAGCGATGGCAGCAGCAGTGGGAGCAGAAGAAAGGCCCACAGTGGCACCATTGGTGATGGGACTGCAGCTGCTGCTTCAGTCGCTCCTACCTCAGTCGCTCCTACCTCAGTCGCTGCCGTTGGTGCTGTGAAGTGAAGTGATGGGACGGGGGGGAGCAGATTGTTGAGAGGGGGGCGAGCGAAGCTGAGTTTGGGAAAGCAGAGTTGGGGAGGAAGCAGAGTGAAGGGGGGAGCAGAGTGAGGAGAGAGCAGAGTGAGAGGCGAGCGGAGTGTTGAGAACTGCAGCAGGCTGCAGGGTGAGGGTGAAGGGAGGAGCGAGTGAGAGTGAGAGTGGGGTGTGAGGACCTCGTTTGCTGGTTTGAGGCGCCTCAAATCCAGTTGTGAGCTGCCGGTGGCAGTTCTGTTGTGTCCTGCAGTGCACTGCAGTGTTCCGTTCCTCCTCTCTTCTCTTCTCTGAGATTTGAGACACATCTCAAAACTCAGTCTCTTGTGAGTTTCAACGTGAAATTCCCTCTCTCTCTCTTTCTCCGCATTGCAGATTTGCTGCAGTGAGCAAAAACAGGGTTTTGAGAGACGACTCATCTCAAAACTCTTTTGCTTGTTCCTCACTGCAAAACTTGCAGTGAGCAGAACTGCATAGCTGGTCCTGAAGCAAGACTGGGCAGAAGACCGGAGCAGCAGGGAGGGCAAGCAAGGATGGGCGGCAGTCGATTCAAGGATAATTTTCACCTGCCCCAGGGCAGTATCCTTCTGTCTGTGTTCTCTCTTCCCCTCCAACAGGTGGCCCCAAGCGATGGTTCCCACCTCAACGCGGTGCTTGGGTGTAACGTTAGGAGCCCTGCTCCTAGCGGCCAAGAGGAACCCCCCATGCATACAGTGCATGGGAATTATAGTAGTACACTAGAGGATTTGCAATATCTAATTCATTCAATAGGACTTCTAGTAGATGAGTAGATTAGTTGGAAACTTGATATTGAGTTTCTGAACTGGATTATTCATAATTATGATATTAGAATGGGCCTTCAAACATTGATATTTTGGAAATAAGCTCTATCTAGGAGCATTATAATGTAACTGTGAATGTGGTGATAGAGGTATTGTAATGCAAATCCCGTATATGGCCCGTTTACTGGTGATGCTTTTTGTCAACAGCGCGTCACGCTTCCCCAATCTCTGCTGCAAATTTGAGTGAATTTATTCAAACGCTTGAGTGGATTTGTTCAAACGGTTCAGTGTCATGGATCATTGTGCTCCTAGACCTTCCACTAGTAGCGGATATTTGGAACGTCCGTCGAGCGATATCCTCGGCGACTCGTAAATATGCGCGCAGTTCTCCATCGCGTGACCTCCGCTCGAATCGAGGCACGTTATTCGGCGCTTTTCTTCCGCTTCATTCCACTTCCTAAATATTTCGAGTCGTTTTGTTTCATCAACCCGCCTCCGCTCCTGCCATGTTGTTGTCCCTGGTTACCAACGTGTTTCGTCCTACGAGATACCTTTCAGCCTTTCGCGCGTAACACCTTTAGCCTTTGATGGCGGAATGTATTTCGCCCTTCTTACCGTATCCAAAGGAAACATCGCTCATCTTCTTCGATCTAATCATCCTCGTCTTCCGCATCGCCCGCTCCTCCCCTCACCCCTCCTCTCTAACTCATCCCACTCCGAATTCCCCTTCGCCTGCAAGCAACTCGAGAAAGTGTGCGTTTAAGCATGTTTCGTCAAGGGTCTTTTGTACCTGCATATACGCCTGGGTTACCCCTGCCTGTTCCTATTCTTCAGGTGGAGGGTCGGAAGGTGGCGGAAATAGGTTCGGGTTTGGTGGTGCTGCTCGGATTGCAGGAGGGTGACACTGAAGATGATAGCCAACAGATGTATGGCGCATGATGGTGCATGGTGCATAGTGCATGGTGCATGGTGCATAGTGCATGGTTCACGCATGGTGCACGTGTCAGTATGCGCCAGTGATGTTTGTTGAATGTGTCTGTGCATAGTATCTGATATCTTTGCTAACCCACATGAACGACAGCCATGCACAACTAACACAAATGACGTGTTCGGAACAGGCTGACATTGACTAATGCTGTGAAGGTAATTATTGTCTGCCTCTTTTTATCATGATCTTTGTGTCGCAGACGCCAGTCGATTCTCTCCATTCCTATGTGGCCAGGAGAGGAAGGAGAAGATGCAACAATTCGACTCAATGTCTGCATGCATAGAAGCTCCACCCATTCCTCGCTTCCTCATCCTCTCTTGTGGTCTTCCCTCCTTTATGTTGCCCATCTCGTCCATCTCCTCTTTCCTCTACATGCGATTCGTGGCTGGTCTGTTTTGGTAATTCCTGGATTGACTGAGAACAAGCATGCCTTGCTTGCATCGTCATTCTTTCTCCAACGTTTTAGTGCACGTGATTCATTTCACCAGCCATCTCTCGTTCTCTCTTCTTTTCTGTCCATCAGCACCGTACTTCATCCTTTTTGCCCCTCTCCTCTCCCCCCTCATTTCATCAGGTAGTTGAAAAGGGGTTGGACCTACTGGTTGGTACGTATTATTGTTTGTTTCATGCGTTGTACAATCATATACCTCGTGACTGTCTCTCATTTCCATGAATGCAGTTAGTCAGTTCACCCTTTTTGGTCAGTCGAAGGGAACACGGCTCAACTTCCATGCAGCCATGGCACAGGATAAGGCAGAGCCAATCTGGGAGAGGCATACGACCCAGCTCATGTGCACAGTGAGTCTTTGTTTACTTCTTCTGACAGCATCCTATAATGTTAGTGTTGTTGGTGCGCATGTCAACAACTGCATTGCACCTCTTGGTGTTTTTTCTGTCCCATCCCATGCACCGCCTGCCATTTTCACAGATGGCATGTTCGGCATCAAGAGAATGGTGAGCCTCACAGCAGCCCTTGTGTTCACGTTCTTGTACATTCTCTACTGTCGGTAGTGATATTGCTGCCGTTGCTGGGCAAGGAAGTAGCCCACCAGTTCAGTGCCTGTTTGAAGTCCTTTGGCACTTTGTTGTAAGGCAAGCGCAGGATGCCAGATTGTATCTCCCTCCCTCCCCTTTTCTAAGTAAGAGCCATTGGAGTCGATCTACTCGTTGGAATTTCACACCTTCCTGCTCACACTGCAACCACATACCTGTTGTCGCATGGCAAATCTCTTATCTCAGGTACACATGGTGTGTCATGGTCCTTTGTCAACCTTGGTGGACTCACGGAACCCATGACCTGTGGCAAAGAGATTCGAATCTACCTTTCAAGAAGGATTAGGTGGTAGTGCCAATGCTGATAGGTATTAACAAATCAAGTGTCCATAACTTTGAGACAATTCGAGTATACTACTAGGTATAGTAAGAACTGACACATGCCAGTTCAAAAATAATATCCTGTACATAAACTACATGTGCCCATTAACACCAGCTGCTTGATCAAACCCTGCCTCTTCTGGAGTAAAAGCAACCACCACATCATCTGGTGGAAAAAGCGCCTTCAAGATGCCAGGAGTTTTCAACAGCTGGCGACCAGAAATCTTTGGATAAACATCTACCAAGAAGTAATACACATGTCCTGCCGCCATTCCCTGGAGTCAGCCACAGGCAGCAGAAAACAAGGATACCGTAGATGGTGAGAAATACATGCATGACAAAACGAGTGCAAAGCCAGGCAACTTGTGCTCACCAGAAGATCTACCACAGGGCTACTTCCCAGAAGAACCGAAAATCCCAAGAGGACCTGCAAGACGATTGAAGCATAGTGCATGGTACGTGAGAATGAATAGGAAAAAAAAACCCAACCAGCGATTTCATTATGAAGTAATAATGCATACCCAAGGAAGGTAAGGTGCTGTGAAGTTGAACAACCCAAGAAAGCTCATTTGAATATTAGGGTTGCGCCTACCCCATACGTACACCTGCAATAGGACTTAGGTAAATGAGTATACTCGAATGCAAAACAAGAAACGGAAACCACTTCAAAACAAAGAAGGCCAAACTGCATCCACGCACCATCATAAATGTCAGCGAAGAACCGAGAAACTGGATGTTTACGAAGGGAGCAACCATTGTTAACAAGACTCCGCCAAAGAGCAGCATGAAGAAGAAATCAGCGGTGCGGCCACGGAAAGAAGTCTCCTCAAGCAGTTTACAATATCGGCAGAGGAAGAACATGTGGAAAACGAAATCGATGCCTGCAGTGACACCCGAGGCATGGTTAACGAGCTGACAAGTTACTTGCGAGGAACTCCAGACTTACAATACTCACCGATACTCCCAAAGAAGAAGAAATTCGTGAATAGCCGCCATAGCTGGAACTTCTTGAAAATCAAGTTGGAGTTGAAATATACAGAAAACGGCGAAATGACCTGCAACGAGGATGCGAACAATGCTTAGTACTCCTAAATATGAGCAACTATAAGAGACACACTTATAAAAGAGCGCCATACTTCGAGTGCGCAACCCGCGGTTGTCAAGAACGAAAGTGTCAGGTAAGACCTGGTTATTATGGGCATCTGTTTGTACCAATCTTCAAGAGTCTGCGCCATGGTGTACGACACTGCGAAAGAAGCTGCACCTGCTCTAAACTAAAGCCAAACAGTGTCGTGAAGAGACGTAGGCGATGTAGGTTTCTGTAAACCAACCAGGCAGGTGTGCTGGAAAAGATTCAGCTCTCAACTACTGCGGAATGCATGCTGCGGGCTTCACCGCAAAGTCTCTGAAAGCCTATGCTGTGGTGTGGAGTAACACAACAGTCAGCACGAAGACTGAAGTGTGAAGAACGCGTTGTCAGAGAAGCTCGCGAAGGGGACACGCAGGTGTTGAGGTGACTGACCAATCGAATGCTCCCTTCTAGCGTTTACACCAATCAAGCCACGCATAGCGGACGGGGTGAGGATTCACCGACTCAAGTCTCAGCTGCTGGTAAGAACACTCACGTAATGTAAGGATTTTTCCTTTATCCTTACCGGGGTTGACTGCTACGCGTACAACCCCGATTTCCGGACTTCGCACGTTCGGCCGACATCAACGATGCCGAGGCTCCTCCGCGTCGCCTTCGGCTTTCCGTCGCCAAACCTGCACCCAACCTCGTTTCCCGAGGTTCCCTTCTGTTGGAAATACAAAGTATAAGAAAGTTATATGCTGTTAGGTTTTAGTGTAATCCTCCTTATAAGACTCTAGGTCCTACAATAATTGTACAATTATTGTAGGGGCTGCATTATTGGAGTCTAGAGGTTTGGGGGTAGAATTATTGGTACTCCTTTATTGGAGTTACCATTACTGGAGGTACAATTATTGGTGTGGATGGATGGATATGGGCAGGGTAGCTGATAGCATAAATGCCCTGCTGTGTGGTTTCATAATCCATTCCATTGTTCTGAATCCTTTCAGTTGCAATTTTCTCTTGCTACTTATTCTACAATCAAGCTTCCGCAACAACGGCACTATGCCTTTCTAGCATTGTATCAGAGGTACTCTAGGGGGCATGCTGCCAAAATTTGGTCAGAAACCTGTTACACTTCACATTGGAAAGACACATTAGCAAGAGGGCAACGATTGGATTGAAGGCATGGCACGGTTCGACGGTGAAGTCGATGCTGGATACGAGGCGTTTGAAGAAGCAATCTTGTTTCAACATGAACACCTGGAGAACATGATTGCAAGGGCACCACCGGCACTTCAAGCGTCATTAAGGGCGAAGTTCAACATGCCAATCAAGTCAAGGGCATCACACACTCCATCAAGCACTCCGCGTACTAACCAAACTCACGCTTCAAATGTGCATGCAGGAGTTGAGGGTGAAGGGGAAGGGAGCATACCTCAAGGAGGAGAGTCATCCCAAGAGGGGGATGCATCCGTCCAAGGAGAGGAGAGCTCGAACCCCGCACCTCAATCAACCATGCAAAGGGAAGCACGGGGGAGGAATGATTAGTATGGGAGTGGGCTGGATGAAATGGAGCATGGTGATGGGATTGGCGTGGGAAGGCACATGAGAGGGCAGATTGATGAAAGGAATGGCAGAATGAGTCATGTGGGCGTGGAAGGTGTGGGATTTGAATCCTACACTATTGGTGCTCCCCCACTTCGACGGTTGGCCACTAATACTCATCCCATTGGAGTTTCCCCAATGACCAGGCCTCACCTCTTTGGCGGAAGTGCCATACCTCCTCGTGCACCGCGGCCTCAAATGGGAGCTGTACCTGCACGGAGCATGGGGCGCATGGGGCACGGGATGCAGTCAAGTGGTGTTATGCGACGTGATCGCGTGGAGGTGGTGGAGCAACGCACGTATGGTCAAGACGGTGGAACGCAACGCTCAGTTCAACTGCCACGCCCATCTACCATACCTACTCTCTTCGACCCGTCTCCACGCGAGTACACGGAGGAACACAAGGACAGACTATCACGCAAGATGGTGGGGGCAGCGGTGGACAAGGCGTTCACTACTACTCCATTCGACGGCACTAACTTCCGGGAGTGGGCTCTTCGGTTTCGTATGAACGCACGCGTGACAAACCTGTGGGAGTTCTTTGTCACTCTTCAATACCCCGTTTCCATGGCAAATAGCGACGTGCGAGATGCAATGGAGTGGCTGGAAATTCTGCAAGCGGACTACTCACAACGTGCAACGCTAGCGTTTTGGGTGCTACTGCACAGCTCTAGCGCAACGATTCAGCTGCAATTGGACGTGTTTCAGGAATCATACAGTCCGGCATTCGAAGCATGGGAGTACCTGATGGAGACTTACCAGGCGAAGGATTCGGTGGCAAAGGCGTTTCTCCAAAGGCAATTGGACAACCTGAAGATGGGGAGTCAGGAGAGAGTGGAGGAATACGTCAACCGCGCAACGGCGATTCGGGACAAGTTGGCATTGGCGGGGAAGATGGTGGATGAGGACACTTTCACGCTCAATCTGCTCACCGGACTGCCAGCGCAATGGGAAGAACTAAGGCATGCGGCTATGTTGCAGGACATAACGGACAGCTACACGTTGCAGCGGATGATGATTCAAGAGCAACGCTACCAAGATCTTATCACAAGGACTAACCGTGATCGACGTCCTCCACGCATGGCTGGACAAGCACGTGGAGACTCACCGGGAAAGGAGTGCACCGGGAACTACGATGACATGAATATGGAAAATTCAAACGAAGGGCTGCAAATGAAGAACACAAATGGCAACAATGGAGGAGGAGGACGCTCACCTCTCGTGTGTTGGTACTGCAAGCAATCTGGTCACCCGTTTTCCAAGTGTCCCAAGGCACCTCCAGGTTGGGCACCACAAGGATGGGAACGAGGGAGAACAAATCAACGCACCGGGAACAGCCGTTCGACCTCACCTCGAAAGAGTGGCAGCCCCAAGCGTGGCGACAACAATGAGTCAAAACGGCAAGGGGCAGCCGAGACAAGCACCAAGCGCACCGTCACATGTATTGCAACAACTTGGTCACCACAAGCGGCCTTATCAAAGACTGGAGGGTTTTCGTGGTTGCTGGACAGCGGTTGCAGCCAGCATATGACATCGGACAAGAGGTGGTTCGAGAATTTGAAGGAGCTGAACGAACCTGTGTACGTGGAGCTTGCTGATGGGAGCACTTTGAGCAGCTCAATGGTGGGCACAATCAGAGCAAAGGCACCCGATGGGACAACGATCCGGTACACTAACGTCCTTTACGTACCCGGTTTGAAGAGCAACCTCCTCTCCTTTTGTCAACTGCTGAAAAAGGGGGCTCACATCAACACCATTGCTGATGGAGACACCGAAATCACTATGCCTGATGGTGATGGGTATGTACGGATTGGACTTGGCAAAAACGTGCATGGAGTGCTCATGGTGGAATATGAGCCAGCACTTGCTTCTGCCAATGAATCTGGACATGATGATGAAGCATCGAATGTGGATGGTGATGGAGGGCTGAATGGACATTCGGCTCCAGTGCCCATTACCTACCGACTGGCACACAAGGCGATCGTGCGGGACGTGGCATGCGATGTGACGGACACTCACTCACCGCGCTCCTTTTATGACATGCTGCCGGGCGCTGGGTCTTTGCAGCGTCACGCCGATGAAGTCTCACCTCACGTTGCGGTGTGGACTTCAGGGGGAGAAGGTCAAAGGTCTGTGGTAGATGAAGGAGACTCCACAGAACCGGACTTACTTGGAGCTGATGAAGTCAGTACAACCAAAGAAAAAGGGAGTGCTGCAACAAATGACTTGCCTGCAGCAGACGTCTCTGTACCGTCGGAGAATGATGGTGATGCGAACAATGAGGTGGGGCAAATCAAGCAAGGAGCAGATTACCTCACCAAGCCGATTCCACCTGGAGCAGGATCTGTCAACAATCAGCCAAAGGGTGCAGGCATTGCACACGCATGTGCGAGCGTTTCGGAGTGTGCTGCACAACCGGACATCACGTAGCTCCACACGCCTCACCCATGTGTTTGCACATGTGCACAAGTTTGCACACGTGTATGATCACAAACACATGGGTGAGAGGGGGAGTGGGGTGCGGAGCATTTTATACGCTGGAGTGGGAGGCAGAAGTTCATTCTTCAGTTTTCATTATCATTTACATGGCAGTCATGTGCCAAGGGAACGACCTACGGTCAACATTGCACAATACAAGGGGTCACTGATGCTGCTGTCGAGGGCTAGCAGCTGCTGCTGCAATCGGTCAGCACTTGCTGCAGCGCTCCAGCTGATGCTGTCCGCGAGCTAGGGTATGCACTATATAGTCGCGTGCCTTCATTGTAATTGGCAGTTCATTTAGTCACAGCTTCGTTATTTCGTTATTCCGCACACTCTCTATTACAACTCATAACACCTGGTATCAGAGCTAGTTTCCTAGTTCACCCCGCTTTTCGAGGGTAGTTTGGTGGCACGGGTTGGCTTGGTAAAGAGGACTGCAAAACGGTTGGCTGCAAGGTTAGTTAACTCTAACCTGCCCGACTCCGATAGTTTTTGCTTTCCTCTTGCCTGCAAGGCCACGGATACCCCTCTGCCCACCAGACGAAGCGTGCGACTCATGGACCAGGAAGCGTTGCACAAGATGATGGCGCAAATGCAAGAGCTACAGGCAACAGTACAGAGTCTTTCGGCAGAAGTGACAACACTACGGGTGGAAAACACCGAGCTACGCTAGACGCGAGGTGAAACGCGTCAGGAGCCGCCCGATGAAGAAGGTGAAGGCAACAGTCAAGCGATGAGCAATCCTCTGGACGCGCTCACACGTGGCTTCGAAGAGGAAGACAGGCAACGAGCGGCAGCAACGTCAGTTGCAGTTACGACGATCAAGATTAAACCTGCAAACCCGCCCCAATTCAATCCCATGGACAAGACGACTACAGTGAAGGGGTGGTTGTTCAGCGTTGAAGTCTTCTTCACTGCAGCGAACGTCTACGACGATGCCACGCGTATTAATTACGCGGTTTCTCTACTTCGAGGCGCAGCGCTTCAATGGTGGCGCCACACCCTGGACACAGGGACTCCGACAGGTGTGACACATGCGGCAGACGGGACCTTGACATCGGCTAATCAAGGGGCAACCTCAATCTTCGGAGTGACCAAGATACGCACGTGGAAGGAGTGGGGCGCAGCCTTACGAGATCGCTTCGAGCACGTATCCGCTTCGGAGCAAGCTCGCATGAAGCTGCGTAACTGGTCGCAGTTGGCATCTGTTCAAGACTACACGGCGTCGTTTATGGCCTTTGCTGACCAAGTGGACGACATGGCGGAAGCAGAGCGGTTAGATAAATACATCAGCGGCCTGAAATATGAGATACAGTATGAGGTGCGCCGATGCCGCCCGACTTCGTTCCTGGAAGCCATACGGTTAGCTGAGTCTACAGACGCGTTGATGCAGTATGCGAGGGCAGGTTCCCGGGAAGGAATCCGTCTTCGTGGACAGACCCAACGGGCCACAATCAACGTAGTCCACACACCAGACCGCCCCTTTACAGGGACGTGTTTTAAGTGTGGGAAGACGGGTCACTACGCAAGAGAATGCCCCGAGAAAACGCCGGCGAAGGGGAACGACAGGAGGGAGCAGGGAAATGGGAAGAGTCAGTAATTTACGGGCCCCTTACTGACTATGCTTCGTCGCCCGAACACCAACATCCCCACCGAGTAGTGGTTCCGATTCATGCAATCGATCGCACTCGGCCGAATAACGGGGATACTCATGTGGATCACCCTGTGCTGGTCGTTGGCACAGTGTTAAAAATTACTCTGAAAATGTTCGTCGATGGAGGAGCTAGCCATAGCCTCTTCAACTTGGCGACAGCAAAAAAATGCAAGCTGCAACTTGACAGGTGTCTGCCCGAAATTGACGCTCGCCTCGTGGATGGGACGCCTCTGGCAATTTTGGAAGAAACACGGACGGTGAGGATTGAGTGCGGCGACATTTTCGGCTTCAGAATGAAGTTTCTCGCGACGACTCTGGATGGCTGCGACGTGCTGCTGGGACGTGATTGGCTGCGACGACACAACCCCGTCATCGACTGGACAACGGGATCGTGTTGCATCAATAAGCACGAGGGGCTAGTTAAACTGCCTGCATGGACACCTGACTACATCCAAGCCCCGTGCGTCAAAGCTATCACTATAGCTCGCCACTTCAACAGGGGCGCGCAGCTGTACGCTGTATGCTTACGCGAGTTGGCAACCGACACCGACGGACAAGACATCGAGAAGCTGTGTGCAGCTGTACCGCCGGATTTAGCGGAGCTGATACGACAGTACCCGGACATCTTCCCCGACGACCTGCCACCTGGACTGCCACCCGAACGACCCGAGGACCACAAAATACAACTGGAACCTGGCGCGCAGCCGACTGTTCATACACAGTGGCGGTTGACCCAACCGGAACTCGAGGAGCTGCGAAGCCAACTTGATGGCTTGTTGGAGAAGGGGTTTATCAGACCCAGTACGTCTCCCTACGCGGCCCCGATCCTGTTCACCCCAAAAAAGGACGGTGGGCTTCGCATGTGTATTGATTATCGCGCGCTCAACCGGGTTACAATCAAGTCTCGCTACCCCATACCACGCACCGACGACCTCCTCGACCAACTTCGCGGCGCTCGTTACTTCTCGAAAATCGACTTACGTGGCGGTTACCATCAAATACGGTTCTTCGCAGACGATTGTTATAAGACCGCGTTCCGCACCCGCTACGGAAGCTACGAATTCCAAGTGATGACATTCGGCCTCACAAACGCGCCTTCGACCTTTCAGCTGACCATGAACCGAGTTTCAGGGAATTTCTTGACAAGTGTGTCATCGTCTACTTGGACGATATTTTGATTTTCAGCAGGACAAGAGAACAACACCTCCGCGACCTCGACGCGATTTTTCAGCGGCTACAAGAGAACCGCCTCATCACCAAAGGCTCTAAGTGCGAGTTTTTTAAGCAAGAGTTGGAGTTTTTGGGACACGTCATCTCCCGCAACGGCATAAAAATCGACCCGGCGAAAATCAAGGCTATACAGGAGTGGAAGTCCCCGACTAACATCACGGAACTTCAGAGTTTTCTGGGGTTCGTGAACTATGTCAGGAGGTTTATCCCGAATATGGCGGGGATAACCGGCCCGCTAACCGACCTGCTACACAAGGACATCAATTTTGTGTGGGGGGAGGAAGCAGAGGCGGCTTTTCAGGAACTGAAGAATTTCCTAGTGTCCCCTCCGGTTCTACGCATCGCCGATCCATCGAAGCCGTTCGAGGTCATCACCGACGCCTCAGATTTCGCCATCGGAGCTGTACTCCTCCAGGATTTCGGAGACGGGCTGCAGCCGATTGCTTACGAATCACGCAAGCTGCAGTCTGCCAAGCGCAACTACCCGATACACGACAAGGAAATGCTCGCAATTATACATGCGTTCAAACTATGGCGCTGCTACTTGGTGGGCGCCGACGTCACTGTTTGCACGGACCACAAGTCCCTACAGTACCTGCGAGCTCAGCCCAACCTCAACCCGCAACAAATTCGTTGGCTCGATTACATGGAGAGCCACTTCACCTACCGCATCACGTACAAGAAAGGGGCGAATAACATCGCCGACGCCCTTACCCGACCAACAGTTCAATCCGCTGCAGTACTCATCACCCACTCGAACCCACTACTTACGGGACTATTCACCCACGGCTACACTACGGACCCGTACTTCACGACTGGAAACCACCAGCAGGCAACGACGCAAAAGGGGAACTATTACCTAAAGGCCGGAACTGACCGGATTTGGGTTCCCGCTTACCGGCTGCTGCGTGAACTACTTATCCAAGAGGTCCACGATTCAAACCTCTCCGGACATTTCGGGGTTGATAAAACCCAGAAACTGTTGCACCGTCAATATTACTGGCCTGATTCCTCTAACGACGTGCAGCGATATGTGTCCTCATGCAGGGTGTGCCAAGCCATGAAATCGACACGACAGCGGCCAGCTGGATTACTGCAACCACTGGAGCCACCCGAGCGACCATGGCAACAGGTGACGATGGACTTCGTCACAGGACTGCCAGCTGGGCCATCCGGGAACGACGCGGTACTCGTCGTCGTCGATCGCCTCACGAAGATGGCACACTTCGCACCGTGTCGTACAACAATCACAGCCGAAGAAACTGCGCGCCTCTTCATATCAACCGTCGTGCGACTACACGGAATCCCGTCGGCGATCGTCAGCGACAGGGATCCGAAGTTCACTTCAAGATTTTGGAAGGAGACTTCGGCGCAGTACGGCACAAAGCTACAGTTCTCATCAGCATATCATCCACAAACCGACGGACAAACCGAGCGAACCAATCAGACGATGGAGCAGCTGATCAGGACAAACTGCCCCGACCCAACTCGCTGGGAAATGTCACTCGCCATGCTGGAGTTCGCGTTCAACAACGCACCGTCTAGCACGACTAATCACTCCCCGTTCTTCCTGAATTATGGGATGGACCCGGTGGTGCCAACCACCACGACACTCGACAATCCGGTCCCACGGTCACAAACATTTGTGACAGAACTTCAAGAGATCCGCGAGAAAGCAGCCGACGCTATTCGCAAGGCGAATATTACTGCCCGGAAATACTCGGACCTTCTACGACGAGAAATCGTCATGACGCCTGGGCAACTAGTGCTACTCGACACGAAAAACCTACGCCTGCCCGGCTCGAACAAACTACGGCCACGATTTTGTGGGCCTTTCCGCATCATCCAGATGGTGACACCTGTCACTGCGAAGCTGCTACTACCCGACGATTGGCGTATACACGACGCCTTCCATGTCAGCCTCCTTCGCAACTTCATGCCTGCCACGACAGACATTGCGAGCCAGAACGCCGCCCCGTCAGCTCGACCTGTCCCGGAACCGACCACCGACCCCTCGAAGATTCTCGGACATCGGATCCGGCTCAACGCCACTGGACGCCACGTGGACTTTCTAGTCCGATGGACTGACCGCACCAGTGAGGACGACACGTGGGTGCCATCCGCATCGCTTGAAGCTTCCCCGCTTCTTGGTGATCATTTCGCCCGCAAGCGAGTTGCGGATATTGACCACCTTGCTTAACGGGGGGGGGTAGTGTAAGGATTTTTCCTTTATCTTTACCGGGGTTGACTGCTACGCGTACAACCCCGATTTTCGGACTTCGCACGTTCGGCCGACATCAACGATGCCGAGGCTCCTCCGCGTCGCCTTCGGCTTTCCGTCGCCAAACCTGCACCCAACCTCGTTTCCCGAGGTTCCCTTCGAGCTAGGGTATGCACTATATAGTCGCGTGCCTTCATTGTAATTGGCAGTTCATTTAGTCACAGCTTCGTTATTTCGTTATTCCGCGCACTCTCCATTACAACTCATAACACGTAACATCATGCAAATATCAATTCATGGTAAATGACGCGTAACATCTTGATATACCATAAGCAATCTGCGATCACTATTATTGACTGCTAATATCACATAACAAGCCATTAATCGAATTTGGTTACAACAGAAACCAAACGCACTAGGACCAGGTGACCTGCTGTATCTATTAACCAACCATAACTTGATCACATGCCTGAAGAGCTTGGTTAGCAAAGTAACGAACATCTGGATCAGGATCCTCATTGAGCTCCAATAGACAAGGTCGGATGGTTTGTTCAACGACCTGCAACAATTAGACAACCAGAACAATTACATAGTCACCAAACAGAATGGAACTCACCAGAAGAAGGTAGAGGTGAGCCAAGCCGACACTTACAGATGGCTCAACAATTGGTATGAAAGACTGAAGCATCTTGGCAACGTTAAAGCGGATGTTCGGTACACTGTGGGCACAGAGGATGATAGCACGTTAATGTTCATACAATCCACAGAGCAATCTTGACATAAAAAAGGGCACAATTGCTTACCGGTCCTTGGCGGCATTCAGGATAACAGGAAGCATTGTATTGCAAGTTGCTTCGGCACCAAGCACTGGGGCCAACATGGAGAGAGAAAGCAGGACTGTCATTCGATACAGGTAGTGAGAGTTGTTCACTTTATCCATGATCTGCAGAACAGCAAACATTTCATTGTGAGTGAAAGGTAATACAACAAGCACAGACCTTGCTGACATGACACGTACCATTGGCAGGATTTGAGATTGGGCCCATTCAGCACCGAACTCTTCTGCTAAACGCTTCAGGTTTGTCGCAGCTGCTTCACGAATTGAGTACACCTGCAATGCCAACAAACAAAAACATGTCAGAAATGAGGAACTGCACAGAAATACCGACAATAATTTGCACTCGAAGCAAGAAACAGGAGGAATGATTATTTACCTGGTCTTCAAGCCATTGCATGCACAACGACTTTAACTTCTCATCGAAGAACTCCATTCCAAGTTGGCCAGCCAAGAGAGGAATGTACTCAATGATGGCCAGTCGCACTCGCCAGTGTCTGTCCTCTGACAATTCCACAATAGCTGGAAAAAGCGATTGTGACAGGAGGTCCATTCCAATGACTTGATTGACTTGATCCAGCTTGCTGATAATGTTGAGCCGGACATCAGGGAACTCATCTTTTAGCAGAGCCAGGAAAATTGGTAGCAGAGTTTCAATGGTGAGCTCCTGTGGAATGTGGGCGGACTACATGAGCACATAACCAAACTGAAAAGAGAGATGGTACCAGCGTATTGACGGAAGTGCACCTTGCCAAGAAGCGGGGCCATCCCCATGATGACAGACGCCAAGGCAGACCGCACATGTTGAGAAGTATCCGTCGAAAGATCCTGAGAAAGTGATTGACATGCAAGCTGTGAGTAAACGGATGGCTCTAAGAATGCATGTTTGATCAAAGTGAGAGAAATCACCCACCTTCACACATGGTAGAATGACATTGAACGCTTCGCCATTCTTAACAATGGCACAGATCTTAGTCACTTTGCCAGCAGCCGCAATGCGGACCTCTGCCTCATTGTCCCTCAGAAGCTTCACATACGCGGGGACAAGCTCCGCCCTGGTTGAAGAATAACCAATATTAGAAAAATGTGACCAAGAGAGACGACAGAACGTAAAGGAGAGCCAAGCACCTTGCCACTTCGGGACCAACGGCCTCACAAAGCTCGTGAAGCTGGTTCGCCACCATATAGCGCACTCGCCACGACTTGTCCTGCCAAATTGGCATAACAGTGAGAAGTTACGCCAATGCAATCAATTGAGAACCTACTAATAGCCCAACGCCGCATTTGAAGGAGGGTGGACATTTGAGGGAGGAAACGCGATGTGTGGAGAGCGACAATGCGGAACGAAATACCTGGGCAAACGACAGAATCACAGGAAGGATGCTGGAGATGCAATCCTTTTTCTCCAGGAGCTTTCCGACCGCAGCACATCCTTCGACAGCCAATAGTCTCACAGAATCCTGGTCTGCGAAACGAATGGAAGCGACATTAGCTACACGGACTGGTGAAGATATCAAATTTCGTGCAGGAAGAATCGTACCGTCATTTGTAAGATCTTTAAAGAATTCGAGAATGTCAAGCTTCAGGAACTGCGGCTCCACCGTGGCGGCAAACTTGCCCATGTTCAGTGCAGACGAGCGACGGACCATCGGCATGTCGTCATGACTAAGCTGTCCGTAAAGAGTTCGAAGATCCGCTCTTTGCTGCTCGGTCGCGCTGGGATAAGCGATATGGAACAGCCCGCAAGCAGACACGCGAGCTGTAAACCATTCCCCCGCTCCAAGCCTCTGGCAATACAAGAGGATTTTCGAAAAGTTAGTTACCTTTACACATTCAAAATTCAAGCCTTCCAGAAGAATACATTGGCGAATGCATGGCACCTGAACAAGTGGAACGAAGAACTCGACAATGTCTCGGGGCTTCATCTGTTGTCCAATCTTGCACAACGACTCAACGGCTTTATCCCGGACAACAGTCTCTTCAACCGTGCATAATGTCTCTAACGGAGGAAGGAGCACGGGAGCGTAATCGACACCACCCACGTACGGAATGAACGAACCAAGCTCTTCTGCCATAGCAAGTAACACTTCATCATCATCGTCATTGTTCTCGTTCAAAAAGGGAATTAGCTCCTTCCGTGTCCGGTCGTCGCCAAGTGCTCGTGCGATGGTGCTAAGGCGTCTGATTGAGTTCAGACGAAGCTGGATATCGTCATTCTTTAGCTCGTCTATCAGAATGGCGATAGGATACAATGGCTCCTCAACGACGGCCATGTTTGTGGCCATAGAACGAGATGTCAGCTGGTCAGTAAATAATAATACCTTCTAAATAGTACAGTGACTATCAGAGGTCGCAATAGCTTCCTACACAAAGACCCCTCTAATCTTCTGGATCTATGCCGGACTGATTTGCAGGACTAGGGTTTCGAAGGGGCAGACCACTCCTACAGAACAACTGGATAAAGTGGGTGGTCCGTAACAACGGGCAAAGCGATGGATTGGGTTTGGGACAGGTGTGAAGGGGCATGGGGATTGGCGCTGTCAGGTCAGAGGTTGGTCGAGCATTATCCGAAAATGGCGCGAGACTGGAAATTGAGTCACTCGTTTGAATAACAATTTCAACACAAGTCCTACGACTTGTGCTGTCCTCATTCGTCAGAATGTTCAATGATTATCAAGAACCCAGGTGCTGAGACACATTATGTTACAAACGCATCACACAGTATCAGAGTTTCAATCACTTGGCTGGTCGGAAGCGCTACATTCCAGCCACAAGTCCTGCCCAATAGCTGGCGTGCATTGGCAGCACATGTGCACCGTAGCTTTATTTTCAACCAGTAGTATCTCGCTATACACCAGCGAGAGTTCCCACGTGGAGCCACAGCCAAATCCCTCACATCGCTATCAGAACAGTGTTTAGTAATTTTCAGAGTCCCGGATGCATCCAACGCTCCCACGTAAATATCGGGTCATCATGTAGAATATATAGTATCTTCCGGGTACAAGTAGAGGCTAAAAACAAATAGTATCGACCAATGGCCTGGAAGACAGAAGGAAAGCTTGGGGCTAAAAACGTTCCTAAAAGGCATCTCAGTACCTGAGTTCACACATGAATGTGGAATCCTTCCCTCTCGCCCACGCCGTACTTGAGTGAATGAAATAAAGCGCGAGACGAGGATTTGTTCCTGGCACAATGCTTTTGAAAGCGACTCTGAGAACTGGGGTGTAATTCTGTGCTAATATGCTTTTCATTTCGACCCCCCAAAATCAGAAAACCAGACCAAATTTATCCGATGTGTCAGTGCGGCTGCACAATCGTCATTGGATTTGGTGAAGAGCATAATCAGCCGTCCGATATACTGTACAGGACAATGTACGGTTGATAAATAATCGATTTCTTACCACAGGCAGCCTACCCCACCAATTGCGGGAGGGTCAGAGTGGAGTGGAGGGAGGGGGGACCACTCTCTCCACCACCTCGAGTTCTTCGCAGCTTCTTCTTCAGCCACGTGCTTCCCTTCCCCTCGCCACGCCACTAGCAAGCTCACAAACCAGAGTGCTCTGAAAAGAAGGCTCAAGAAGAAGCAGAGTGCAGCACCAGTTCCTTCCATATCCACCCACAAGGCAGACTTCGCTCAGCTGAGTGTTTTTCCTTCCATTCCCCCTCAAGCAAGTTTGATTGTTCAGGCATCGTCTAGCCCAAGTAGTGTCTGCTCGTCTTCGGAGCCCGAGGTCAACCAATTCAGTCGTCAACACTACCTGTTGATTACTGCTGATTTTTGGAGATTGAAGCTTCTTTGTTTAGAGAGAGCCATGTCGTACAGAACGTACCGCGACAATGTGACGGGTGTAGCGAGTCAGCCTTGTCGATACTAACTTCGTGTCGCCACGACTAGCGTACCCTAATCGCACAGCAATCACGATCAGATCAGAGCGAGCGAGCGAGCGAGCAAGGAAGCAGCGTACATTTTTTCTCTGAAACAGAGAACAGCCCGTATCGCCGTTAGAGAGAACGAACCTCATCGCAGCCTCATTCTGCTAGTACGCCAATGGGAGGTTGTCTAAGCCGATCGCATGCCGATGACCCCTTTCCCACAAAAGCCAGCGGCCAGCACAGCAACTACAGTGCACCAGAAAAGCCGTCTGTAAGATTAGATCAGCCTGGCGCAGAAGGCAAGGAGGTTTCGCACACCCCAACGCAGCGATCAAAGTCACGAGAAGGATCGGAGCACGGAGCGATTCGAGCAGCGCGATCGCGAGACAACTCGGAGCATGGGTCATCAAAAGTGAAGCCGGAGCAGCCAGTAGATGGCGTGCACTTGACGGGCAAGAAAGAAAATCCCGAGTTTCTGCCCGGATCGCGACCCGGCAGCAACGACTGGGACCGCAACAACCAGCCGTTGGATCTCTCCGAGATCACCGGCAGAAGCACGGCGGACGATGATGACGTTCCGGCGAAGGATAGTCTGAAGCAGATGCTTCAAGAGGTGCGATCCAGCGACAACGCCCGCGTCGCAGCGGTCGCTGGCGACGGTAGCATGGGAATGGGAATGGGGTTCGGCCAGCGAGGTGGTAACCCGATGTTCGCGCAGATGAACAGTAGCACGCACGGCGGGGGAGCGGGGGCAATGGCGGGGGCGACGTCGATGCACGGCGGGGTGGCGCCCATGGGCAGCTCGTCCATGCACGCGGGGTTCATGGCGTCGGGCTCCATGCACGGTGGCGGCGCGGGACGAGCGTCGGCTGTAGCGATGCGGTGAGCTGAGGAATGGCCGTGGCTGTGTTGTTGTTGTTGTTTTTTTTTTTTTTTTTTTTTTCCTTCGTTGTAACAGCCCCTGTGTCCGCCGGTGTTGGTCTCGGTTGTTCAGTTCAATCAAACGGTTGATTGCGACGTGGTTATGAGCACGGAAGCTGCGCGCGTCCAAGACGGCTCTAGAGTGACACAGCGCTCGTTCTGTCTTGGTGACGAAACGCCTGTATCCTTACACCACACACGCTTGTTCTGCCCCCCCCCCCCACCCCCTTTCCCCCTCTCCCCTCCCCCTTCCACCCCCTCCCCCCCCCCCCCCCCCCCACAGCGCTATGCAGGCGGCGAAGCTGCGCGCGTCCAAGACGGCGCTGGAGCGACACAACGTGCAGATCGTGGGCACAGGCTCTGAGCTGCTCGTGCTCTCGCACGGCTTCGGACAGAATAAAAACGTGAGTCGCACAGATGTGGGCAGAATGAGAAAATAATGTGTTTTGTCCGATAGGGTTAGGCTGTAACAGTTGGGTAACGAACTACGCGCATGGTGAACAATGAACAAACAAGTCAACAAGGGTCTCACCCCCATGGCGGTGAGTGTGTGTCTGATTGGCCAAATGACCATACTTAAGCATGCACGCTGAAACAACGAGGCGAATGCAACGTTTTTGGTTGGTTTGCACAATGTGGTGTCTCCCTTCCCCCCACCCTCCACCCTCTCCACAATCGCATCCCCCCCATTCCCCCCCAACCCCTTCCCCTTCCCCATGCTTATCCTCCTAATCGCCCGTTCACATTGACGTGTGTGCAGATATGGAGCAGCATAGTGGGGCAGCTGGACACGAGTGTGTACCGCATTGTGCTCTACGACCTCACAGGCGCGCTCGGGTATGTCCGTCGGGCTCTGTGGCGTGGGGGGCATGGCATGGCATGGCATGGCGTAGCGTGGCTGGGGCTGGGTGGGGTGGAAGCAGCATAGTGGGGCAGCTGGACACGAGTGTGTACCGCATCGTGCTCTACGACCTCACAGGCGCGCTCGGGTATGGCAGGGCAAGGGCTGGTTGGTCAGCCTGGTGTGGCATGTGGTGTGCCATGGCATGCGGCTTGGGCTGGGGGGCATGGCATGTGATGGCATGTGGTGTGGGGCATGGCATGTCGAGCAATGGATGAGCACGGCATGGAATGGCAGGGAACTGCATTGTGTGGCACAGCAAGATGTGACACACTATGGCGTGCACCCTATTCCAATCAATTGTCTAAAACCGTCCCCCCCAACACCCCTCCCCTCCTCCTTCCCCTTCCCACCTCCTCCTCTCCCGCTCCTCCCTCACTCCCCCTCCCCCTTTCCCACATTCCTGCCACCTCCGTCTTTCAACCTTTCGCGCCTTCCAACTTAAAAAAAAAAAAAAAAATTATATATATATATATATATATTATTCCTTTTCCGTCCTCACCCCCCTCTCAACATCCCCCCCACCCTCTCCCCCCCCCCCCATTTCCCCCCACCAGCACGGACTACGACGCGTTTGACTACCAGCGCTACAGCACGCTGCATGGCTTTGCAGAGGACCTGCTGCAGCTGCTGGGGGAGCTGGGCGTCGAGGTACGCTGGGGGGAGAGCAAGAGAGGTTTGCTGAGGGAGCGCAGGAGAGGTATGCTTCTTGAGGGCTAGAGAGCGGGACAGCAGGGCTTTCGGTTCGAAACCAGCCGCTGCATGGCTTTGCAGAGGACCTGCTGCAGCTGCTGGGGGAGCTGGGCGTCGAGGTATGATGGGAGGGTGGAGAAGGTGCAATAAAGGTATGTTCTTTGTTGGCTCGCGCGTGGGACAGAGGGAAATTGTGTTGGTTCACAATCAACCGCTGCATGGCTTTGCAGAGGACCTGCTGCAGCTGCTGGGGGAGCTGGGCGGTAAAGTATGCTGGGGGGGGAGGAACAGTAGAGCTATACTTCTTGAGGGCTAGAGAGTGGGACAGCAGGGGTCTCGGTTCGCAACCAATCATTGCATGGATTTGCAGAGGACCTGCTGCAGCTGCTGGGGGAGCTGGGCGTTGAGGTATGCTGCGGGGGAGGGAAGGGGAGGGAGCGTTTGTTGATGTTTGCTGCGAGGACGAGGTGGGGGAGGGGAGGCTGGTGGATTTTTGTTGTGGAAAAGGAGGTGGTTATAGAAGTACGCTGCGGGGAAGGGGGAAAGGGAAGGATTGTAGAGGTATGCTCCTTGGGGGCTATGGTGCAGGATGGAAGGGTTGGGCTGGGATGGAGGGGTAGTGGTTGAGAACGGTGGCTTGGCAACGGACCCTTTGTACCTGCTGGAGGAGCCCTCTCCCCTTTCCTCTCCCCTCCTTTTCCCTTCCCCATTTTCCCTCTCCTCTCCCCTCCGCCCTCTCCCCTCCTCCCCTCTCTCCCCCTTTCCACCCGTCTCCCTTTCCCCCTTCCTCCCCCCATCCCTCCCCACCCGTGCCGCTCATCTCTGAACTACCAGGGCACGGACTGGGGCCACCAGTGCACGTTCATAGGGCACCAGCAGAGCGGCATGATGGGGTCGTTGGGGTGAGGCATGGGTCAGCTGTTCCTGCGTGCACTCGTCAGCACCATGCTCATATCTCCCCTCCCTCCCCTACACTTGCCACCCACCTGGCAATCACCAGGGCACGGACTGGGGCCACCAGTGCACGTTCATAGGGCACCAGCAGAGCGGCATGATGGGACTGCTCGCCTCCTTACCCTCTCCCTCCTTCCCCTTCTCCCTCCATTTGCGCCTCTGATCTCTGCTTTACCAGGGCACGGACTGGGGCCACCAGTGCACGTTCATAGGGCACCAGCAGAGCGGCATGATGGGACTGCTCGCCTCCTTACCCTCTCCCTCCTTCCCCTTCTCCCTCCATTTGCGCCTCTGATCTCTGCTTTACCAGGGCACGGACTGGGGCCACCAGTGCACGTTCATAGGGCACCAGCAGAGCGGCATGATGGGACTGCTCGCCTCCTTACCCTCTCCCTCCTTCCCCTTCTCCCTCCATTTGCGCCTCTGATCTCTGCTTTACCAGGGCACGGACTGGGGCCACCAGTGCACGTTCATAGGGCACCAGCAGAGCGGCATGATGGGACTGCTCGCCTCCCTGGAGCGCCCGAATGTGTTCAAGCGCATCATCATCATGGGCTCCTCGCCCAGGTGGGTAATTCTTTGACTTTTGAGTCGACTCAAAAGTCACCTCTTCCCTCGAACGCGCATCATCATCATGGGCTCCTCGCCCAGGTGGGTAATTCTTTGACTTTTGAGTCGACTCAAAAGTCACCTCTTCCCTCGAACGCGCATCATCATCATGGGCTCCTCGCCCAGGTGACTTTGTGGCGAAGTTCTCTGCGGGTGGTCTGGCTACCGATTGTGTTGTTTCTCTTGCTTGAGTGGTTATGTTTCCAGATTGAGTGAACGTGCTTGTACATGTAAACTCAGTGACTCAGTCCCCTTGTTCTTTTGCTTTTCTGGAACTGCAATGGCAGGTTGCTGGATGCTCCTGGCTATGAGGGGGGCTTTGCACTGAACGACCTGGACCAGGTGTTCGGCATCATGCAAGGCAACTTCAAGGTTAGTGCCTTGCTGCTGCTGATGCTGCTGCTGCTGTTGCTGTTGGCATGTGTATGACACGCCTCAAAGGGGCTTTGCACTGAACGACCTGGACCAAGTGTTCGGCATCATGCAAGGCAACTTTAAGGTCAGTGCCTTGCTACTGCTGTTGCTGCCTTCATTCACTTGTGTTTCCTGTTCCCGCGGCCGTTGGTACGGTGGCAGTGCAAGTCTCAGAGATGACATTCGTGTTGAAGTCTCCGCCTCTCATCCCATCTCCCATCCATTTTCCATTCCGCATCTCCCGTCCACATCCCCCTTCCGCATCTACTCATGCTTTCTCTGCTCCGTGGAATGCGCTCAGCTTTGGTGTGGAGGCTGCGCACAGGTGCTCACAGCGGATGATGGGAAGGTGCCTTAAAGCGACGGTGCACATTTGCCACCCAAAACCCAGAACCCTGGCGAACTGTTACTGCGGATGGAAAGTGTCCGCACGAAATCCTGGTTTTCGCCAGCCAGCACTTTCGCGCTGGCAAGCCTGGTTCAAAAAAAAAACTTCTGAACCCAACACTGCCAAAAGTTGCCCGTCGCTTTAAGTGCGCGACGTTTGAGACTTCCTATACCCCTTGCATTCCTTCCATACATATCCCCTGCCCACATCTGCCCGTGTGTGCTTTATTCCTCTGATGCACACAGATGTGGAGCAGAGGGTGTGCGCCCGTGCTCACAGCGGATGATGTGAAGGCGCCTCACGTGCTCAAATTTCAAGACATTCCGTATCTGCCCGTGCATGCCTTGTTTGCCTCGTATGGTTCACTCCCCTTACTCAGATGTGGAGCAGAGGGTGTGCGCCCGTGCTCACAGCCGACGATGTGAAGGCGCCTCACGTGCGCGACTTCACCCGCCCGCTCTTCCTGCTGCGCCCCGATATTGGCTTCAGCAACCTCAAGACCGCCTTTGCATGCGACGTGCGAGACATCCTTCCAAGGGTGAGTTCTCATGCTGCATATTGGAGACAGGACTGGATGGAGAGGCGTGGATGGAGGGGGGTAGTTGACTCGTGCTACCTCCGCTCTTCCTGCTGCGCCCTGACATCGGCTTCAGCAACCTCAAAACCGCCTTTGCCGCAAAAATTAATACAGCACTTGCTCACCACCATCCCCAACGCCCAGTGTTGCACCTTTCTTGGGAACTTAAACTCATTTTTTCATCCACCTCCCATTCCCTTCGTTTGCCCCTGCTGCAGGTGTAAGTGCAGATTCATCTTCTCTTTTTTTATCAGGACTCCACCATGCTGCAGTCAGTAATACAATACATGCGCACCACCATCCCCAACGCCTGGGACCTTATGTTAATTTGTTCTCCAACTCCCATTCCCTTTGCCTGCCCCTCTCCACCCCTGCAGGTGTCAGTGCAAATTCATCTTCTCTTTTTCGACCAGGACTCAACCGTGCCGCAGTCACTAATACAGTACATGCTCACCACCATCCCCAACGCCCAGTCCTGCACCTGCCTTGGGAACTTTTACTAATTCTTTTGTCCACCTCCCATTCCCTTTGCCGTGCCCCTAACAGGTGTCAGTGCAAATTCATCTTCTCTTTTTCGACCAGGACTCAACCGTGCCGCAGTCAGTAATACAGTACATGCTCACCACCATCCCCAACGCCTTTGCCGAAATCCTCTCTACAACCGGCTTCGCTGACTCGCCTACAACCGTTGCCGCGGGCATTCAACGGCATCTCAGCATGCCTCTCCGAGAAACGTTTGGGCTGTCTAGCCGGCGGATCTTCAACGCCCGGTATCTACCACCGCCGATGCCCGAGATGGAGGAGGATGCGCAGGAGATGGAGGTGGAAATAATATAGTCTAACAGTGGCGAGAACAGGGTGTACGACGGATGAAGGCTCTTAGGTACATTGGGGAGGTTATGGATTGGGTGGAATAAATTCCACCCACTTTGTCTGCTCGAGGCTAGGATACTGTAGGACACTGCTTACGAAGCTAGGCGTTTGTGTCCTTACTATTTGTACCCAAGTGGTTAAGTGAAAATCCATCCAGCTCACAATGCTGAGCTCTGGTGTGGCTAGTCTTTTACCGTAGTTAACACATCAGAAGAAAATAGTTTGTTGTGGCAGGGTAGGTGTAGATATTTTGTTACATTGCGCAACAAATGAAGTTTCGGTTCTCAGTTACCCGTCGTCACGATATCTTCGCTTGCGATGGCCTACCCTCTCGCACCAAACTCGAGGGCCTCAAAGCATCCGTCAAATCTCTCACCAACACTTCACCGTTTCGCTTCGCCCGCATTTCTCGAGATTTCTACTGTCACGCCCACAAACAATTTCCACGTTCATCGTCCCCTCTGTTCCAACAGCCGTTTCTGTGTTTCTCTCCCTTCATTACAACCGTCCGTGCATCATTCAAGATATTCGTCTTAGCTTCAATCTCAAGTGGTACTTTCACGAGAAGGACTTACCATTTCGGGTAGATATGGCGACGGCAGCGTCGAAGGAGCAACAACAGAAGACCATCAATGTCCTCACTGCCGCGGCTCCGCTACAGGCAAGCTCTACCGGGCTAGAAACAGTATTTAGGATTTTCCGGACGGCATGAAATTGCTTGTTTTGCAATCATGCATTTCGCACCAGGGTGGATAGCAATTTGATACTACAATAGGGATTCCAATATCAGTGCCGAAGCTTGGGATTCCCTGGCATAGCGCTGACGTCAAGCTGACGTCGAGTGACGTTGATCTGACGTTGATCTGCGGAAATGAGCTCTAATGTTGATCTGACATCCTGCGCGTTGCTCGCCGTGCGGTGCATGGGTGGGTGGGTGCGTGCATGGCAGAACTATGAGTTCGACTTTGGCATCGGGGGAGCGCCCGGCAAGGCAGCGGGGGCCAGCCTCAAGGACCAGCGCAGCGGCTTCTCGCTTGCCTCCGTGAGTCGCCGTGAATCTCTTCCAATTCTTCATGGTTCTCGTCCGCGCGTTCATGCCAGCTGTGTCAGACCCCTGCTCGTTCCCTCACCTTCCCTCCCCTTGCACTCGCTTGCCTCTGCAAATTTTCCCCCTCGGCCCCTCCGTCAACCTCCCCCGCCTTCCCTCTCTCCCCTCCCCTTTCCCCCGTCCGCTTTCCCCCTTCCCCCCTTCCCCCCCCCGCTCCACGGGCCTCTCCAGGTATCCAAGGGAGGGGACTTAGCCTCCATGCTCCTCGGTTCCTCCTCCTCCCCTTCCCCAGCCACCGCCGCCCCCAAAGCCCCCGCCTACTCAGGCCCGCCCACAGTTGCCCTCTCCCCCACCTTCACCCCGGCGCCCCCCCCCTGGCTGCTCACCCCTTCCGCCCCCGCCCCCACACCGTCCGTCTCTGGGATCTACTCCGTCACCATCCCCCCTCCCGTCTCCATCCAAGCCTCTTTCAAAGAAGCCCCTCCCACCGGCGTTCCCGTTGCCGCCGCCGCCGCTGCTGCTGGTGTTGGCGGCACAGCGGGAGCAGCTGCAGGCCCAGGGGCGCTGGGGCTTGCAGGAGCGGCGGGGGGAGGCGGGATGGGCGGGCTGGCTGCCACGTGGACAGCTTCCCCCTTGGGATCCACGAGCAGCAAGAAGCCTGACGCCCTCTCTGACCTCTGGAGTACCGTTGCATCCGGCGCTGCTGCTGGCTCTGCTGCTGCTACTGGCAGCGGTGCTGGCGGTGGTGGCACTGGTGGTGCGGCCTCAGGAGTGTCGCTGGGTAATGGGGTAGCAGGCAGAACCTCATCGTCATCATCGGCAGGAGCAGGAGCAACAGCATCTGCTGCAGCCCCAGCAGCAGCAGCAGCAGCAATGCCAATGGTGGACCCATTCGGAGACGTGTTTGCATCGGTTCCAATGGCCCCTGGAACCTCTGCCGCCCCAGCTGCAGCACCAGCCGGTGGGGACCTGCTCGGGGGAGATCTGCTTTCTGACTTGGGCTCGTCTGTGCCACCTGCTGCTGTGCCTGATGCGGGTTCAGCCTCTGCTGCTGCTGCTGCTGCTGCTGCTAGTCCATTGGACCCTGTGGGTGGGCTGCTGTAATACAGAGCTCCAGCCGGTGGGGACCTGCTGGGAGGTGATTTGCTTTCTGACTTGGGCTCCGCTGCGCCGGCTGCTGCTGTGCCTGATGCGGGTTCAGCCTCTGCTGCGGCTGCTAGTCCAATGGACCCTGTAGGCGGGTTGCTGTGATACAGAGCTTGCTGGGTGCTGTTTCTGTTTCTGGCTGGACGTGGGCTTTGGTTGGTGTCAGCTTTGTGTCTGGCAATGTGACTGGTAAGTTCATCAGTCTGCATGTAGATTATATTGCACTCATTCTGGTATGAAGCAAGTTGGTACTCTGGGAGTGTGAATTCAGGTCAGGCCCTCAGATTGGTTTTGGGCTAGTCTGAAAATTCAGAGTTGGTACATGACTAAACTCTGAAAATCAGAGTTTTCCCTGCAGAAATACCACTGCACACTAGAAAAAATCGCATTTTTCCTGTTTTTTCTCAAAAAAATGCTGAATTTTCAGAGTTCACTTCAAAAAAAGGCTGAAATATCAGAGTTTTTTAGGCAAATCAGAGAATTTTTTCTGACTTGGAGCTTTACCAGATTTTGTTATTTATATATATAATTGCTTTACAAGCAAGATAGTCCAGGCATCAATCACAACACATTTGAGCGCCCTTTTCTAACAACATAGGATTGCTACCACAATCCTGACAATTCAGAGAAATAGAAGGCATCTCTACAAAGGTAACCACACTGCCGAAGCATTGGCGGCAGTGAATGCTGCTTTTGAACTGGAATGGTTTCAAAGCTAAAATTATTATTGTCAAGGGTTGGAGACCCCTAGCAGCCTCGAGGTGAGCTCCCAGGCAACAACAGCCGCAGCATTGGCCGGGAAAGCTCGGGTGAGTGTGGGCAGGAGACCGGCATAGAACCCCCTGACGCCACTCTCCCTTAGAATCTGAAAAACGAAACCAGGAGGGATGGTACAAGGTGCGAAACGGACTGAGACAAGATACAAGAAGCATGGCAAGAGCTGCACCGACTCAAGGCAAAGCAGGGAGAGCAGCAGCATGCTGGAGCAACACAGAGGCCATGGGAGAAGTGTTACCGTAAGATTGATCAGAGCACTCACAGCTTTGCACTGGCTGAGCATTCTCAGCGACTCGGGCGATGCCGACGCGTCGGCCGTCTGAATGCGCGTCTTGATGACATCGAATGGGAGCACCGCTGACCAGAACTGATGTGCGGGGACAGGTAGGGAAGAGGGGTGGGAGGACAGGGGAGTGGAAGTTGGGGAGGGGAGGGAGCATCGGCCGTCTGAATGCGCGTCTTGATGACATCGAATGGGAGCACCGCTGACCAGAACTGATGTGCGGGGACAGGTAGGGAAGAGGGGTGGGAGGACAGGGGAGTGGAAGTTGGGGAGGTGAGGGAGCATCGGCCGTCTGAATGCGCGTCTTGATGACATCGAATGGGAGCACCGCTGACCAGAACTGATGTGCGGGGTGGAAGGCGGGGGAAGTGGGGAGGGGAGGGGAGGGGAGGGAGGGGAGGGAGGGTCGCCTTGAATGCGGATCGTGATTGGGACAAGTAGACCAACACTACCAGTCTACCACGATCGTACCTAGTGACCTCGGTGTCCGTGACTACGTCCCACCCACAGCTTACGCAGCACTAGGGCGACGTAGTCACGGACACCGAGGTCACTAGTCACGGAGGCCAAGGAAGAATTTGAGGAATGACACCGACACGACAACCATGTGACAACCAAGTGAGGCCAGTACGAGCCAAAGCAGCGAACCGAGAGCTGCCACTCACCACAATGCCTGCTAGGGCGGGCCCCACTGGCAATGGCCGTGGCAGCCTCAGCTGCCACCCACTCAACCTGCCCACCTCCTCTGATTATATATCCAACTAAAGAATCACCCGACTCACCACGATGCCTGCAATCCCCCCACTGGCAATGGCAGTAGCAGCTTCAGCTGCCACCCTCCGCCACTCACTCGCCCCGCCCACCCCCTCTGCCTCCCTCCCCCTCAACACCCCTTCCCCTCCGCCCCCTCTCCCGTCTGCCACATCCCTTCTCCTCGAGGCCTCCCTGTCTCGGCTTGACCCTTCATACACATTCTCAACTGAGAGGTCCGAGGAGGCGGAGGAGGAAGACGAGGAGGGAGAGGAGTGTGAGGGAGAGGAGGGGGCGAGGGCGGGGAGGAGGCGGTGTTTGATGGCTTCATAGGTGAGAAAGAAGCCGATGTTGCCCAGCGACTCCCTCAGTGCTGTTGCCGCCAGGCCTCTGAACAACCCCTGTGGCTGGAATACGTAAGACGGGGGAAGGTTGAGAAAGAGAGAGGAACGAGAGAGACAAGGAGGGGAAGAGTAAGAGGAGAGCTTGATGGCTTCATAGGTGAGAAAGAATCTGATGTTGCCCAGCGACTCCCTCAGTGCTGTTGCTGCCAGGCCTCTGAACAACCCCTGTGGCTGCAGGAGGAGAGAGAGGGAAATGAGAGAGAGACAAGGGAGGGGAGAATGAGGTGGAGAAACGTTATTCAGAAGCAGTTGAACAACCAAATAACTCCGCTAACAACACAATTGAGGCGTATTTCCGGTTGGTGGCAGGGCAACTGTTCACGTTGACTTGGTGGCATGCGCATTTTCTTCCGCCCCCCCTGTGTTTTTGGGAAAGTTGCCACCAGGTCAACGCTGAACAGTTGCCCTGCCACCAACTGGGAATGCGCCCTTATTCCTCTAATCCCCCTCTCCCTCCCTCTCCAACAATCCCTCTCAGTCAGCCACTCACTCACTCCCCCATGATTAGCATAGATCCGGCATGACTTACCCCATCGGCCTTGACGGTCTGAACCACACAATCCCACGGGCCCTTGTAGTGCCCGCTGCTGCTGCTGCTGCTGACCCACTCACTCACGGACTCACTCACTCACTCACTCACATGATCAGCATCAATGCCAAGCCTTACCCCATCGGCCGTGACGGTCTGAACCACACAATCCCACGGGCCCTTGTAGTGACCCGCACTCCCCACCACCCGCTGATGCTGATGCTGACCCGTTCACTCACTCACTCACTCACTCTCTTCATCAGCATCAATCCTGCATGACTTACCCCATCGGCCTTGACGGTCTGAACCACACAATCCCACGGGCCCTTGTAGTGACCCGCACTCCCCACCACCCGCTGCTGCTGCTGCTGCTGCTGCTGCTGCTGCTGAAAATGCTGCTGCTGCATCAAAGCCTGTTGTTGCAGAGGCGATTGCGAATGGATTTGCTGGCGTTGGGATGTCGCTGCTGCTGCTGCAGCTGCTGATGTTGCTGCTGCTGCTGGGGTGCGTGCTAGGGAGGGGAAGGCAGCGTTTGTACTGAACGGGGCGGGGTGAGCAGCAGCGGCAAACGAAGGGGTCAGGCGAGTCATGGCAGACACTCGCTTAGAAGCACCCGCTGATGCTGCTGCTGGTGCTGCTGCTGCGGTATATACAGAGGCGGCGGGTGAGAGAGCCGGGGACTGGGCCTGCACTTGAAGGCGACACTGCAAGAGACGAGCAGCAGACACAACAAGCAGGAGAAGATGCTTCTATTGAATGAGACGAGCACGGAGCACTCGAGGAACTCGAGGCACTTGAGGCACTTGTGGCACTTGAGGCACTTGAGGCACTTGAGGCACTTGAGGCACTTGAGGCACTTGAGGAAGTGGGAGACAGCAGCGCACGCCGGACGGTCATACACATGCCGCGCACTGACCCGCCAACCACTCAACTGCTTGTAACACACGTTGACGAGCTCTGTAGGGCAGAGCAAGCTCAAGCCCAACAAAGCACTGACCTGCCAACCACTCAACTGCTTGTAACACACCTTGACGAGCTCTGTAGGGCAGAGCAAGCTCGAGCACAACATAGCACTCACCCGCCACGCACCGCACTCAACCGCTTGCAACACACCTTGACGAGCTCTGTAGGGCAGAGCACGAAGCTGATGAGCCCGCCTGCCAGCCCTGCTGCTGCCTCAGTTTGAGTCGCCCCTGTGGAGGCATTGTTTGCTGCAAGGACAACCGCTTGTAACCCACTAGCAAACGCCACGCACCGCACTCAACCGCTTCCAACGCACCTTGACGAGCTCCGTGGGGCAGAGCACGAAGCTGATGAGCCCGCCCGCCAGCCCTGCTGCTGTCGCCACCGTGCCTGCTGTGGGCACTGCGCGCTCTCCGCTCTGAGACGAGGGGAAGAAGAGGGGGAGAGGAAAATAGGCAGGGAAGGCAGAGGGGAGAGCAGGGGGAGGTGGAGTGGCGAAAAAGGGCGGGAGTGGGGGGAGGAGAGAAGGGAGGGGAGGAGAGAAGGGAGGGGAGGAGAGAAGGGAGGGGAGGAGAGAAGGGAGGGGAGGAGAGAAGGGAGGGGAGGAGAGAAGGGAGGGGAGGAGAGAAGGGAGGGGAGGAGGAGGAGAGAAGGGAGGGGAGGAGAGAAGGGAGGGGAGGAGAGAAGGGAGGGGAGGAGAGAAGGGAGGGGAGGAGAGAAGGGAGGGGAGGAGAGAAGGGAGGGGAGGAGAGAAGGGAGGGGAGGAGAGAAGGGAGGGGAGGAGAGAAGGGAGGGGAGGAGAGCTGATGAGACACATGGGCAAAATGCCACAGCTTCGGTACCCAGGCCTTAACATTGGTACCCGAGCATCAGTGTTGGTACCCGGGTCACAAATGTACGTATCTCATATGAGGGTAGTTACCTGCAGGGCGGTCTTTATTTGAGTGTACGAGCCGAACAGCAGGGAGCTCTCCACTGCCACGCCGATGAACGATGACGTGGCGCCACGGTATAGGCCGGGGATCTGAGGGAAAAAGGCGGGGAGCAACGCACGCGCGAATGCACTGAGGTGTGCGCGGAGGTGTGCGCGGAGGGGTGCGCGGAGGGGTGCGCGGAGGTGTGCGCGGAGGTGTGCGCGGTGGGGTGCGCGGAGGGGCTGTGCACCGTGCGATCTGCTTATAACGGAATGAAGAGCCTATAACGAAGGGACGTGCGCCTCACCCCTTCAATGCGGAGAATGTGCGACGTGCACTGCCATGCCGAGCGATACCGCGGAGCCCCTAGCGACGCGTGCGACGCGGACGACGTGGCGTTGCTGACGTTGCTGGCTTGCAGCTTGACCTGCGTTGATGGGTGAACGCGACGGGATGAGATGGACGAATGAGGAGGGTGGGTGAATGGGGAAGAACGAAAATGGAAGGGACGAATGGTTGGAAAGGGAGGGGATGAGCCTGTTGTGCGAAACATCGACACCGTCAGTTGCACTCCGCCGTTCAATCACGATCGTTCGATCCTGTCTACCCTTCGCTCTTGCGCCTAACGACACACAAAGCTGTGGACTCTCACAGCCGTCCGATCTTCACCTTGACGGTATCGAACGGATGTCCAGTGACAACGAGAGCCACTCCTGCGGCGACCCCTGCCGTGAAATCCTTCACTGCGGCGAAATCGTTTGGCGGAGGTGGCGAGGCGAACTGGTTACTCGGTGGCGATCCGAAATCGTTCGCACGAGGAACGGTAACGTCCTTCACACTCTCGCCGGCTGGCTGCCGCATTTTCCGGTGCGATCTCAGCCGCTGATACCCAAGATCACAGCCAGATGCAAATGATTTTCGGGAATGCCGGCAGAGTTGACGAGCTTACTGCCCGCTGAAAGCAAATGCACGCTACGCAGGGACTAGAGCTAGAAACGGCGGACTGGACGAGCAGAGACGATAGGCAGATAGGGCAGACCAGACGGGGAACGCACGCGCAATAGACTTAGCTCGAGTCTTATTATTTGCGAAGTTGAAACAATATGTATTGACAAGGAGCTTAGTCGATCTTAGCGAGCTGAGGCACGCATATAAATACTGCGAGTTCTCCTACGCAAATACCAGCTGCGAGCGCCTGTGCTGTCTGCAGGTCCCGTCCACGACGGCGTTTTCTGCGGACTAGCGGGAGAGAGAGGAGCGGGAGGCTTAGAGCTGCGCGCTTGCGCGGAAAGCGGAAGCAGGGCGATTCCGCGCAAAGTGAGGGCTGTCGCGCTTTGGCGTCCTCCTGACCTCTTTCCATAGATCTGGGCGTGCACTCGCGCACTTCGAGCGCAAAATGAACCGCTTTGTGCCGCTACCAAACGTATCGATAACTGTAAGAACGGTGAGACAACGTACTCAACCGTTCTAAACTACTGAACTTCAAGTGTTCCGCCGAAGCAAGGTATTGCACTCTCACCTGAGGACGAGATCGTCGCGCACGGGGGCCGAACCGAACGAACACCCTGCCTCGGTCACCCCGAACCCCACTATAGAGAAAACCACCCGCCCAAGCGACACCGCGATAACGGGTCATTTGCAATATTCTTCGTATGGAGATACACCTAGAAGGGTCTGAACACTCAAGACATCTCCTGGCTTCTCTTTCAACGTGGATGGTATAGAAATATCAGCGGGATGGGTTGCGAGCGAGCGAGCGTTTGCAGTCAAGCCAGTTCAGACCACACAACAGTCCGGGGTAGTAGGACTTTCCCAGTGGTGTATGATACTGTACTCTAGTCCCAACCCAAGTCTAGTTATTTAGCGGTGAATCGTGATCGTTGATCGCGATGGCTTGCCGTCGATAGCCGTGTGATCACAGGTCATTGTTCTCCAACAGATCCGCGTCGTTGCATTATTCGCTGAACGCTCCGGTGTCTCCAATCCACGTCAGCTCCAACCTTCCAAATCGTTGTAGGCGTGAGCGGTCGCTACGCGTACTATAAACGCCCGCAGCACCCGCTACGTTCGAATTGTAGCTCAGCGGGGTTTCCACTCCAAAAACCGACGTTGAAGCTAACATTAATTACCGAAATCGATCGCGATTCTCCACTGTACTGTAACAGAATTCTCCATCGTCAACATATTCCGCAGCCACTGCTGTTAACGCAACCGTCGCAACCATAGCATAGCCATCGCATAGCCATCGCAGCCATCGCATAGCCGTCGCAGGCATCACATTGCAGCCATGAAAGCGGGCTCCGCCAGCAGTCGCGGAGCGGGGCGGTTGTGGACGGCAGCGGGGTCGTCGCCGCAGGGATCCATGCGAGGCATCGGCGACTCGTCGCTGGCGTCGCGTTCGCGAAAGAGCAAGAAGAGTCGCTCGCTCGTGAGGCGGCTGCTGAAATGCCGCTTCCAGACCTTCATCCTCTGCGTCGTTCTGGTCCGTCCGATCGCTGCCTTTTCAATTTGTCGCCGTCAGATCTCTCGTTAGCCCTTTTGCCATTCATTGTCGCTTCCCCCCACCCCGTTTGCACCACTGCACTGTCCACATTCTCTTGGATTTCTATACCCCTCCACCTCCTCCTCCAAGCACAACCCCACTCCCCATCCCCTCCTCCTCCCCCATGTCCCGTCGACCTCCCCATTCCCTCACAACCTCTCCTCACCCCCACTCGCCATCTTCTCCCTTCCCACGCCCTCCTCCCTCCTCCCTCCTCCCTCCACCCTCCACCCTACCCCATCTATGCTCCCATCCCTCCCTCCCTCCCTCCATCCGACCCCATCCTTACTTCCCTACCTCCGTCCATCCGTCTCCCCGCTCCCTCCCTCCATCCCTCCCGCCCTCCCTCCTTCTTGAGCAGGTGGTGCTGTGCAGTGCGCTCGTCTTCCTCTTCGTGGTGGACAAGTTCCCCTTCTCCATGGGGGCCAAAGAGGCCGCTGCCGCTGCTGCAGACGACCTAGTAAGTCGCTCTGCACTGCCCCGCTCTGCTCTGCTCTGCTCTGCTCTGCTCTGCTCTGCTCTGCTCTGCTCTGCTCTGCTCTTCTCTGCTCTTCTCTGCTCTGCTCTGCTCTGCTCTGCTCTGCTCTGCTCTGCTCTTCTCTGCTCTGCTCTGCTCTGCTCTGCTCTGCTCTGCTCTGCTCTGCTCTGCTCTGCTCTTCTCTGCTCTGCTCTGCTCTGCTCTGCTCTGCTCTGCTCTGCTCTGCTCTGCTCTGCTCTGCTCTTCTCTGCTCTGCTCTGCTCTTCTCTGCTCTTCTCTGCTCTTCTCTGTTCCTCTCTGCTCCGCTCTGCTCTGCGCTGCGCTGCTCTCTTGTTTGTAGCGCCCGTGCCCTTCTCGTTGCCATGATCAACCAGTTCCCTTTCTCCATGGGAGCAGCGGCAGCAGCAGGAGCGGCCTCTTGTTCCCCTTCTCCATGGGAGCAAAAGACACCGCTCCTGCTGCTCCTGCTGCTGCTGGTGCTCATGCTGCAGCCACAAGCGACCTTGTAAGCCACTCTACTCCATTCGCACCGTGAAATGTACTCTAAACTCCCTGTTTCCTCCTCTCCTCCCACCCACGTTTCCCTCACCAGTCCACGTCAGCAGCGGAAACGAAGCCATCCCACGTGGCAATGGATCTGAGCGCGCACGGCAAGCAGCAAGAGACGGTCAGGATGATCACTGGGGAAGGGGACGGCATAGCGGTGGACGGTAAGGGCTCCAAGGGCGGCAAGGGCGGCAAGGGCGGCGGCAAAGGTGGTGGTAAAGGCGGCAAGGGGAAGGCAGATCCCAAGCAGGCAGCGTCGGGGAAAGACGCTAAAGATGGAAAAGATGCTAAAGGGGCCAAGGGTGGGAAAGGCGGGAAGGAGACAGGGAAGCCTGGTGCTGGCGGTGGTAAGACGAGTCACCCTACCACAGGTGCTAAGCCGGGGAACCCTAAGCAGCAGCAGAAGCCGGGTGTTGCTGCTAAGGGAAAGGGGCATCCTGCAGGGAAGCAGCAGGGGAAGACCCCGGGAGGGAAGGCACCTCATGGGAAATCGCCGGGGGGGAAGGCGCCAGGAGGAAAGGGCGCAGGTGGGAAAGCAGGGGGGGTGAGACCTGGTTCGGGGAAGCAAGCAGGGAAGGTGCAAGCAGGGAAGGTGCAGGCAGGTGCAGGTGCAGGGAAGAATGTTGCTGCACATGCAGGGGGGAAGGGGGCAGTGGTGGTGCCAAAGGGAAAGGTGCACCCAGCACCGAGGCAAGACAAGGCGGGAGGAGCAAAGGGTAAAGGTGGGGTTGCGGCAGGGAAGCAGGGTGGGAAGGGGAAAGGAGCAGTGCCGGCTGGTGGGAATTTAAGAGGGGTTACTGCCGATCCCAAGAAGGGAGGCAAAGGTCAGAAGAGCTGACTTTTGACTCGACTCAAAAGTCAGCAGGGTGGGAACGGGAAAGGAGTAGTGCTGGCTGGTGGTGGGAAATTAAGAGGGGTCGCTGCTGATCCCAAGAGGGAGGGAAAGTTCAGAAGAGTTACGGTAGGATGAGGAGCTAGCCATGTCCATAGCGCATGGGCAGGTTTTGTTGTTGTTGCTTTCTTCTTGAAAGTGTTGCTGCTGCCATAAGATTCGTGTGTGTTTAATGGAGGTTTTACGCTGTATGAATATGCTCTTCCGTTCTGGTATTTTTGTTTTTTAGCAAAACTACAAGCCCTAGTTTACCCTTCAGTGTACGCGTTAGAACATCGTTCCGCCTTCGCAACCTCACAGAAGGCGGCTGCTCCTCTTCCTCCTCTCACCAACAGCCCGTTCCGCCGAGTTTCTAGCCTCATTCGCAAGTCGGAATTTCCTGCTTTTCGAGAGCTCGTCGCCATGGCCAAGGGCAAGGGCGGGGCGATCCTGGTGAAGCTGCTGTCGGCGGCGGGGACGGGCTTTTTCTACGTGACCAAGAAGAACCCGCGCAACCTGCCGCACAAGCTCGAGTTCAGAAAGTACGACCCGCGCGTTCAGAAGCACGTGCTCTTCACCGAGACTAAGCTCCGTTAGTAGATTAATTGCGCCGGGGTCTCGGGTCGGCTTGGGACTGTGATTGTGACGAGGCCGGTGCTTCTGTTTGTGCCGTGCAGAATTGGTGTAGAATGACTTGAGACTCTTTACAAAGCAGCGGTTTGCCGTGTAATGAAGCATTATCAATCCATCTATACTTCGTGAATTTGTTTGCTCAGTCGGTCCGTAGGCTTGTAGCAGCGTAAATTGCTTCGTTCGGGACTGAATCGTTACGAGGCCTACTAACCCACTTAAAACGCGTACTCACCAGACGTGCCTGACGACGACGTAGACGCGGCCCGTTATTCTCCTCTGGTCTTGCGGGCCTCGACTTCCGCGAGTCGCCGCGCATCGCCGCGAGTAGCTCGCCGTGAATCGCGCGCCGTGAATCGCGCGGTGATCGATGGATTTCCAGGAGCTGGAGGCGGCGGAGGGGCTGCGCTTCTCGTGGAACGTGTGGCCCTCGTCGCGCCTCGAGGCGACGCGCTGCGTCGTGCCCTTCGGCGCGGTCTTCACGCCGCTCGCGGACATCCCCGATCTGCAGGTCGTTCTTTCGCACGGGTTCCGCACGGGTTACCTTTTTTTCCGCATTCCTATCTGCAGGTCGTTCTTTGCTAACACGATCCTTCACACTGCTGCTCTTCTTCACGCCGCTCGCGGACATCCCGGATCTGCAGGTCGTTCCGCATCCGCCGCTGCTCTGCAAGGCGTGCGCCGCCGCGCTCAACCCGTACTGCGCGCTGCACTGCGGCACGCGCTCGTGGGCGTGCGCGCTCTGCCAGCAGGTATGGGAGGGGGGGAAAGAAAAATGTGCGGAAAGTGCATGCTCTCGCTCCTGACTTCCTCCCCTCCCACCCCTCCCATCCCTCCCACCCCTCGTCGTCCCCAATTCCATACTCGTTTCCCCGTTCTCTCTCCTCTCCCATCCCCTTCTCTCCCCTCCTCGCGCCTCTCTCCCCTCCTCTCCCTAATTCTCCCCTACTCTCCCCGTACCTTCCCTCCCCAATGACACAGAGAAACGTGTTTCCACCCAACTACAGGGACGTGAGCGAGACGAATCTACCCATGGAGCTCTCACGAATCCCCCCACTTTGCTTCACTCGACCTCCCCTCCCCTCCCATTCCCCCACCCACCCCTCAGAGGAACGTGTTTCCACCCAACTACCGCGACGTGAGCGAGACGAATCTGCCCATGGAGCTCTCGCCCAGCCTCAGCACCATCGAGTTCCTCCTACCCCACGCCGCCACTCCGTGAGTTCACACTCTCCCCTCCCGTTGCTCTTCTCGTCACTTCCGATCTCCTCTTCGCTTCTCTTCCCGCATCTCCTCGCTTCTCCTCCTTTCTGCTTTGCTCTCACTCAAAAGCCAACCCTTTCCTTCTTCCCTCTCACCCTTGCCCCTCTTCAGCCAGCCCGCGTTTCTGTTTGTGTTGGACACGTGTGTTTCCCCTGACGAGCTACACCGTGCAAAGGCGGCCCTGCTGCAGCTGCTGCCGCTGCTACCAGTCACCTGAAGACTCACATCTGCCCCCTCCCCCCTCATTCCAAACAGGCAGCCCGCATTTCTTTTTGTACTGGACACGTGTGTACCACCTGACGAGCTACATCACGCCAAGGCCGCGCTGCTGCAGCTGCTGCCACTGCTACCAGTCACCTGCCCCGTGGGTCTCATCACAGTGGGTGCACAGGTGGCCGTGCACGAACTCTCCCACTCCCTCCCTCACTCACTCCCTCACTCGCTCCCTCACTCGCTCCCGCGCTCACAAGCCGGCCCACTGTCGTCGCGTGTCGTGCTGCTACCAGGCGACAAAGACCTCCCTCCCAGCAAGATAAAGCACCTCCTGGGTCTGGGGTTGCTTCAGCCTCACCCACCGTCTGCACCATCTAATACCGCACCCAGCAGCGGCCATACCCCTGCAATGCACACCACCACCCACGCCAAAGGTCCCTTTACTGGCAAGCCGTCCTCTCCCAAGGGCCCTCTTTCTTCGAGATCCTCTTCCTCCTCTCATTCCTCATCTGCCCGCGTGTCAGCGTCACCACCACCACTACTACCACCGCCAGCATCATTGCTGTCCACGTCAGCAGAATCAGTGTCGTCGTCGCCGCCCCCGCCGTCGCTGGTGCTGGGCGGCAGAGGGGCGGCGGATGGGCGGTACCTGGTGCCTCTGGTGGAGGGAGAGGGCGTGCTGAGGAGGGTGATAGCGGCGCTACAGTCGGACTCACAGCCGTTGGTGCCAGGGGTGAGGTGAGATACAGTGGGTTCAGGACTTAGTGCGGTTCAGACGGGTGGAGTATGGTGCATCTGGTGGAGGGCGAGGGCGTGCTGAGGGGGGTGATAGCAGCGCTACAGCCAGACTCACAGTCAGTGGTGCCAGGGGTCAGGTGCGATTTGGCAGCTTTCACCTGAGCTTGAGAGCGGTTGAGATGTGGTATGCTCTGTCGGTGGTGGAAGGGAAAGGGGTGTGTTGGGGGGTGTCATACAGTCTCCGCAGCCTGAGTCGCAGCCAGTGGTGCCGGCGTCAGGTGGTGTATTATCAGCTGTTGGTCACCGGATTGCACTGCAGTTGGGTTGCACTACAGCTGGCTCTGTCGGGGATAAGCTGTGCCTGTCTCCCCACGCTTGGCTTTCCCGCTGCTTTCCCCTTCGTCTCCTCGCAGGCCGCGCCGAGCCATAGGCGCAGCTTTGGCAGCCGCCGTGGCTGTGATGGAGGCTCGGGACGAGCAAGGGGCGGCAGAAGAGGGAGGGAGGGCGGCGGATGGGACAGGACGGGCTGCCTGGGAGAAGAGGGGAGCAGCAGAGGAGTGGGGAGTGGGGGAAGCAGAGTCAGGAGGGAGGGCGAGGAGGGAAGGCGAGGGGGCAGGGAGGGTAGGGGAGGGAGCGAGGAAGGTAGGGGAGAGGGAAAGAGGGGGAGGGGAGAGGGTGCTGCAGTCAGGAGGGCGAGTGGTGGTGCTGCTGGGAGGGCCGGGCACAGTGGGGCCAGGCATGGTGGTGGGTACAGACATGGCAGACTGCCTCCGCACACACTCGGATATTCTCCTCGACAACACCTCTTACTATCAGTCAGTGCCACTCTGTTATGGGGCTCGGAACATTGGGGCTAGGCGCTGTGCGGCTGGGCTGGGCACGGTGGGGTTGGGGCTGAGCTTGGTGAATCGGTGGGGCGGGGCATTTGGTGGGCACAGACATGGCAGACTGCCTCAGCACACACTCGGATATTCCCCTCGACAACACCTCTTACAACGAGTCAGTACCACAGACCAAGTGTTGCTGTGTGTGTCTCTCCCTCCCTCCCTCCCGCCCTCCCTCTTCCCACCAGCCCTGCCACGCGCTTCTAAATTCAGTTGGGTGAGCGAGCGTGGAGGTATCAGGGGCCATAGACGTGTTTGCATGGTATGAGTGGTGCTATAACTGGTGCTGCATCGTGTCATACCCTCCCTCCTCCCTCCTCCCACCAGCCGTGCCACGCGTTTCTACACTCAACTAGGCGAGCGAGCAGCAGAGGTATCTGCGGTCATAGGCGTGTTTGCATGTGCAGTGGACCAAGTGTTGCTGTGTGTGTCCATCCCCCGCTCCTCCCGCCCTCCCTCCTCCCACCAGCCGTGCCACGCGTTTCTACACTCAGCTGGGCGAGCGAGCAGCAGAGGTATCAGCAGCCATAGACGTGTTTGCATGTGCGGCGGACCAAGTGGGGGTGGCGGAGATGAGGGGCGCCATTGAGGCGACAAGTGGCACGCTCGTATTGGCCGACTCGTTTGAGTCAGACATCTTTGCCAAATCGCTGTACAAGCTGTTCCAACGGTCCCATGAGGTGAGTCATGGATCGTGAGTCTATGCCATGCCATGCCATGCTATGCCATGCTATGCCATGCCATGCCATGCTATGCCATGCCATGCTATGCCATGTCATGCTTTGTCAGGCCATGCCATGCGATGCCAATCCATGCTATCTCATGCCATGCCATGCCAATCCATGCTATAACATGCCATGCCATGCTATACCCTCGCATCCTCGTTACAGGGCCCTCTGCTAGCCGCCACAGACGGGGTAGTGGAGGTGAAGCTCCCCAAGGAGATCAAGGTGATGGGGGCGGTGGGGGCGTGTGGCAACCTGTGGAGCAGGGCGGAGAGTGTGAGCGAGCACGAGGTGGGGCAGGGGGGCACGGCTGCCTGGCGCCTCTGCTCCCTCTCCCCCCGCTCCTCCTCCCTCGCCCTCTTCTTCGAGATTGCACCGCCGCACAGAGCACACCAGATTCCACCGGGCTCGTTTGCGTTATTCCAGGTGTGTTGGCCGGGGAAGGATGTCTAGGTGTGTCTCTCTTTCGCTCTGCTCCCTCTCTCCCCCCGCCCCTCCTCCCTCGCCCTCTTTTTCGAGATCGCGCCGCCCAGAGCACACCAAACCCCGTCGGGCTCGTTCGCGTTGTTCCAGGTATGTTGGTCGGGGAAGGTTGTCCCTTGCAGGGGAGGTGGCATCTCTCCCGCTCCTGTTGCTCCCTCTCCCCATGCATCTTCTGTACCCTTTGATTCGAAGCCACGTCACTTTGATTGCACCGGGCAGTGTCTGTTGTGTAGCTGTCTCTCCCCCATCCTTCCCCCCTTCCCCCATGATCTCCCATCCCCTTGTCCCCACATCTCCCCCCCATCAGTTCCTCACCACGTACCGCCATGGGGATGGCAGCAAGAGGGTGCGCGTGGCTACAGCAGCCAGGCGATCGGGAGCTGGGCCTTTAGCTGTCGTCCCCCCATCCTCGTCCCCTTACGCCCTTGATTTCCCATGGTCCCATTCCCCCTGGCCTGACCCCACATCTTCCCCCATCAGTTCCTCACCACATACCGGCACGGGGATGGTACCAGGAGGGTGCGTGTGGCCACAGCAGCCAGGCGATGGGTGCACATGGGGGGGGAGGGGGGCGCTGGCGCGGATTCACAGGCTGTTGGGGTGGGGGTGGGGGAAGGGGATGGGGAGTTGGTGGTGGGGGGGGTGCCGGGGGGGAGGGCAGCTGCAGCGCTGGCGGAGGTGGTGATGGGGTTTGATCAGGAGGCTGCAGCTGCACTCGTGGCCAAGCTAGCTGCTTTCAAGGTGCGTGTTGCTGTCTGCCCTGCATGCTGGGAAGGGAGGGAGGCAAGGGACTCTCAGGCTGTTGTTGTTGTTGACTGAAGGGAAACGAGGAAGGGAGGGGAGGGCAGCTGCAGCGCTGGCGGAGCGGAGGTGGTGATGGGGTTCGACCAGGAGGCTGCTGCTGCGCTCGTGGCCAAGCTAGCCGCCTTCAAGGTGCGTGTGCCTCTGCATTCAAGCCGCACTGCTCCACGTCCTGTATACTGGGAATGAAAACGAAGTACTCTGGGACTGTTGCTGACAGCTTCGATGCACTTGTCTGTGCTTCGTTGCCGTAGCGTGATCCATCTCCCTCTCACCCTCCACCAGGCAGAGTCAGAGGACATGGGTGACGTGCTTCACTGGCTGGACCGCATGTGCATTCGCCTTGGAGTCTGTGCTCTCATGGTGCTTCCTGTGCTGTAAATCTCATCCCATGCTGCTGTGCCCCCCACCCCCACCTCCAACCCCCTCATCTCCCCGCCCCACCAGGCAGAGTCAGAGGACATGAGTGACGTGCTGCGCTGGTTGAACCGCTTTGGATCTCTGCCCTCTCATGACGCATGCTTGTGCTGTAATGCTTATGCCTTTCTGTTTTTCCTCCCCACCACCCCAACCAGGCGGAGTCAGAGGACATGAGTGACGTGCTGCGCTGGCTGGACCGCATGCTCATCCGCTTTGGAGCCAAGTTCGGGCAGTACAGCCGGGGGGACCCCTCCTCCTTCCACCTCGCCTCCGCCTTCGCCCTCTTCCCCCAGTTCATGTTCCACCTCCGCCGCTCCAGCTTCCTCCAGGTATGACTTACCCCAGGTGTGCCTTCCCCCAGGTGTGCCATCCCCCAGGTGTGCCTTCTCCCAGGCGTTCCTTTCCTGAAGTATGCCTTCCTCCAGGAATACTTTCATCCAGCGTGACCAGGTGTGAGCATGAGTGCAGGCAGCGTTAAGTTGTAGGGCGTTGGGATGTGGGTGAAGTGGTGTGGCTGTAGCTGTGTCTGCCTGGCCGGCATGTGGCTGTCGCCTGACTCTACTCTCCTCCTTATCTGCATAGTCATGTTCACTTTGGTGTTGGCTGTGTGTGCATGTGTGCATGGCAGCAGGTGTTCAACCACAGCCCCGACGAGACGGCATTCTTCCGCCTTATGCTCACCAGAGAAGCTGTTGCTAACTCTCTCCTCATGGTTCAGGTACTGTACCGTATCTCTTACCAATCAACCCCAAAGCACTAAGCTCTTCTGAACTTCCTCCTCATGGTTCGGTTTCCTGCTCGTAGCCTCCTCAATTCGTCCAGTTCGCTCCTTGTTGATCTGTGCCGGTTTTCCTCCTGTGAATATCTTGTCTTCATCTTCTCCCCGTCCTCCTCCTGCAGCCCGCACTGATCGCCTACACCTTTGAGTCGCCGCCACACGCTGTGCTGCTGGACGTGTCATCGCTGCAGCCCGACTGTGTGCTGCTGTACGACGGCTTCTTCCACATTGTTGTGCTGCACGGCTCCACCATCGTGCACTGGAAGCACCAGGGCTTCCATCTCGACCCCGCACACGCAGCCTTCAGGTGCGCTTCCACCTATTGACTGAATATAACTGTGCTGCTGTAAGATGGATTCTTCCACATTGTCGTGCTGCACGGCTCCACCATCGTGCACTGGAAGCACCAGGGCTTCCATCTCGACCCCGCACACGCAGCCTTCAGGTACACTTCCACATCTGACGGTTATTTTGCTGTATGGTCATGCTGCTGTTCTCAGTCTTGACACAGTAACTGACTTGTCCATTTTCATGCATGAAGGGGACCTGTGTCATGACAACAGCTTTTATGCGCTTGTGTACTTCCCACAACCTTGCAGGAAACTTCTGGAGCTGCCCATGGAAGATGCATTAGCTTTGACCACTGAGAGAATGCCTGAGCCAAGAATCATGGAGTGTGAACAAGGAAGCAGTCAGTCCAGATTTCTGACTTCTAGGCTCAACCCATCGGCCACATATGCAAGCTCGTCCATCCCTTCATCTCCATCGTTTGTAGAGGAGGCGAAACATTCGCAGCAGTACATTTTCACGGATGATGTAAGCCTAGAGACCTTTTCACAACACTTGCAGCGCCTTGCTGTTCAATAAAGAATGTACAGCAGTTGGAATAGCTCTTTTGCTGATCTGTAGCACGAAGCTCAGTACCGGTACCTACATGCAAAAATTGAATGAATTATATAAACAGGCTGTGCTTGTGTTCGGTAAGTGAGCATTACCACGACCATCAGGAGGACATGCACAGAAACTTCAAAAACTTGGGCCTCTTTTTCGCTGAAGCCAGCTCTGACACCTTCCTCTCGAGCTCGTTAATCTTCTCATTAGCGACCACCAGTGCTTTAGGATCTGTTTCGGACACCTGCACATGGAAAAATGAACACGATTTTATGAAGTGAAATGCGTCTGTGAAGCCAAGCCCCGAAGCAATTTGTTAAACAAATTAGTACCTTCTGTGCAGAATCTGGAAGAGACAAGTCCTTCACCATGCCTCTTAGCTTGGTCATCTCCATATCTTGCCAAGTGGCCGTTTCCCTCACTCGCGCCAGCTCCATATCTTTCTCCTCCAGCTGAGCCCTCAGCTCCGAGTTCTCCTTCCGCGTGGCCTCCAAAGCAGTCTCGAGCTGAAGATGCCTCGGTCCGGTCAGCTCTAATTTGTGATTTGAGTCCGGAATGTTGTCGACGACGCCAGAGTTGAGTCCAGCAGTTCCGAGGGAGAATTTATCCGTTTCAGGAGTTGAAACGCCGGTGACTTCTTTCTCTGCGGACGAGCCATCGGTACTGCACTTGCCGATATTTCCAAGAGCATGACGGCTTTCCGAAGATTCATTGGAGGAATCATGCTCGTCGAGCTGTTGATTCTCCTGGCTCTTCGTTTGCGACGAATCTGCTTCTGAAGCGTTTTGATCCTCGGACGGCCTCACTAACGAAGCTGCGGTTTCCTGCTGACTGCTTACGGATACGGATTCTTCTAAATCTTTCTTCTCTCGCTGAAGCTTGTCAACCTTCATCTGATACTTCTCCACTTCATTCTGACACAGCGCAAGCCGCTCTGCTTGCTTCCCTAACCGTTTCTGATAGCTGTCGTCGATACCAGCGAGGTCCTTCTGCAGAGCCAGGCACGTGCTCTCTGATTTCGCAAGAGCAGCTCGAACTTTCTCTAGCTCTGCCTTGAGCGCCTTATTCTCTTTTGCAAAATCCATCTGTGCACCTACACCATGCGATAGCACCACTGGACTAGAAATATAAGACCAAACGTGATTTTAGTTCACTGATGAAGTCGTCTGATAAGTTGCTAGCTTGCTGCGATGATGCCTCTGAAATCTGTTTTCTGTGAAGCACACAGCCTTTGGTTGTGACAACCTCAAGGCCATGGCTTCACCTGCCATGCCTGTGTTTGGATGGACGGTGCACTGCACAGCTGCACATCCTGCCTGGGTCCCTGACCTGACACCCTCGGGTTCATCGAGATGATTGGTCATCAACATACACTTCACGAGCCTTGAGGTGATTGCCTGACCGCGGTTCCCGCCAAAAATTCAACTTGCCATATTCGTATCCTCGAGACTGGGCTGAATCGCGAAGCGACGCGATATGATCGTTTGACTGAATTCAAAATCCGTAAACCGTGAAGTTGATATTCCAGTCCATAATATCAATGTCTAGAGGTCCTTAATTAAAACATAATTATGATTGATCCAGTTCAGGGAACTCTATATTGAATATCCAACAAAAGATTTCACATTTATCCGAAGTCTTATTAAATGAACTAAATATTGAAAAGCCTCTAGTGTACTACTATAATTCCCATGCTCTGTATGCATGAGGGGTTCCTCTTGGCCGCTAGGAGCAGGGCTCCTAATGTTACACCCAAGCACCGCGTTGAGGTGGGAACCATCGCTTGGGGCCACCTGTTGGAGGGGAAGAGAGAACACAGAAAGAAGGATACTGCTCGAGGGCAGGTGAATTATCCTCAAATCCACTGCCGCCCATCCTTGCTGGCCCTCCCTGCTGCTGTGCAATTTTGCTCACTGCAAAACTTGCAGTGAGGAAGAGGCAAAAGGATTTTGAGATGAGTCGTCTCTCAAAACCCTGTTTTTGCTCACTGCAGTGACTCTGCAGTGAGGAGAAGAGAGAGAGTGAGAGTGTGGGTTTCAAGATGTCTCTTGAAACTCACAAGAGAAGAGAGAGAGTTTTGAGATTCATCTCAAAACTCAGAGAAGAGGAGAGAGGAGGAACGGAACACTGCAGTGCACTGCAGGACACAACAGAACTGCCACCGGCAGCTCACAACTGGATTTGAGGCGCCTCAAACCAGCAAACGAGGTCCTCACACCCCACTCTCACTCTCAACCCAACTCTCACTCGCTCCTCCCCTCACCCTTACTCTACAGTCTGCTGCAGATCTCCACACTCCGCTCGCCTCTCACTCTGCTCCCCCCTTCACTCTGCTCTGTCAGCAGAGCTGCACTGTGAGATCCCCGATCGATCCTAAGGGGGGTTACAGGCGCGTTTGCCTGGGGGGTTATGGGCGCATGGACCCGCTACTTAAAAAGCCCTTTTATCCCAATGGTCTAGTGGTTGGGATTCTGACATGGTATCAGAGAGGTCTCGGGTTCGAATCCCGGTGTATGCACATGTAGGTCGTTGCCACTGTGCTCAGTCCTGGGCCTCCAAGTGTGGGGGGGTGTCAGCAGAGCTGCACTGTGAGATCCCCGATCGATCCTAAGGGGGGTTACAGGCGCGTTTGCTTGGGGGGTTATGGGCGCATGGACCCGCTACTTAAAAAGCCCTTTTATCCCAATGGTCTAGTGGTTGGGATTCTGACATGCTCCCCCCTTCACTCTGCTTCCCCCCCCCCCACTCTGCTTTCCCAAACTCAGCTTTGCTCGCCCCCCTCTCAACACTCTGCTCCCCCTGTATGAGCCACATCCCCTTCTGTCCCATCACTTCACTTCACAGCACCAACGGCAGCGACTGTGGTAGGAGCGACTGAGGTAGGAGCGACTGAGGTAGCAGCTGCGGTCCCATCACCACTGGTGCCACTGCGGGCCTCTCATCTGCTCCCGCTGCTGCTTCCACCGCTGGTGTCACTGCTAGTGTCATTGCGTGCCTCTCTTCTACTTCTACCGGCTTTGTCTACCTGCAACTGCTGCTGCCACCGCTGCTGTCATCGTTGGTGTTCTCTTCTGCTGCCACTGCTGCTGCCACTGCTGCTGCCACTGCTGCTGTCCTTCTCTTCTGCTGCTGCTTCTCCTTTTGTTGCTGCCCATCACCTTTGCTCCTCCACTCCTTCACCTGTCCTCCTATCACTTCACAGCACCAGAAGTAGCACACTGGAGGGAGGTAGGAGCGAGCGAGGTAGCGGCTGCCGTCTCCATGAGTGGGGAGAGAGGTGGGAGTCCTGATAGGCCGTCTCCTCTGCTCCCCTGCTGCAGCGCTCAACACACCGCTCCTCCCTCATTCTGCTCACCCGTTCACTCTGCAGCGCTCAGCGAGGTAGCAGCTGCCGTCTCCATGAGTGAGGAGGGAGTTAGGAGCGCTGATAGGCCTTTTCCGCCTCCGATCCATCTCCTTTGCGCCTCTGCTCATGTGCTTTGCGCCTCTACTCCGTCTGCTTCTCCTCTGCTACTCCTTCTCCTCTGCTGCTCCTTCTCCTCTGCTGCTCCTTCTCCTCTGCTGCTCCTTCTCCTCTGCTACTCCTTCTCCTCTGCTGCTCCTTCTCCTCTGCTGCTCCTTCTACTCTGCTGCTCCTTCTCCTCTGCTGCTCCTTCTCCTCTGCTGCTCCTTCTCCTCTGCTGCTCCTTCTCCTATGCTGCTCCTTCTCCTCTGCTACTCCTTCTCCTCTCCTACTCCTTCTCCTCTGCTGCTCCTTCTCCTCTGCTGCTCCTTCTCCTCTGGTGCTCCTTCTCCTCTGCTGCTCCTTCTCCTCTGCTGCTTCGTCTCCACTACCGCTCTGCCTCGACCGACCGTCTGTGATGGGAGGGGAATGGCACCGATTGCACCCAATGAGGGGTATGGATCAGGGCCGATGAGAGCATGGCACCGACTGCACCCAATGCCTAGAAATAACTAAAAGCAGTTGCGAATCGAATAAAGAATCAAACAAACAAAACAGGAAGAAAGAGGATTACCGTTGGCGGTGCGGTGAAGATGCATCCACCACTGTGCTATTTCGCTCCTCTGCTCCTTAGTTCCTTGCTCCTTCCCTCCTCCACTCCTTTGCTCCTCCGCTCCTTTATTCCTCCGCCCCTTCCCTCCTTCCTTCTTCGCTCCTCTGGTCCGTCGCTCCTTTGTCTCCTCTGCTGCTCCTCTTCCTCTGCTGCTTCGTCTCCTCTGCTGCTCTGCCACGACCGACCGTCTGTGATGGGAGGGGAATGGCTCAGGGCCGTCTGTGAGAGAATGGCACAGATTGCAGTTGCGAACGCAATGCAAAGACATAACTCAAGCAGATGCGAGACGAAACAGGCATCAAACAAATGAGATAGCTAAGGTAAGAAAGAGGATAACCACCGTCGGGAGTGAAGAGTTAGCCACCACCGTGCTCCTTCGCTCCTCTGCTCCTCCACCTCCTCAACTCAGCAAAGTCCTGAGAAATGGGAAGAGACAGACTCAGGATGCATGAGCCATTACAGCAATAGAACCCATTGCCCATTGCACCAATGACAAGGCTCATGGAAATGCAAGGCGAACACAACCGTCCATCTGAAGGAACAGATGAACAACAGGAAAGTTGATTCAAAAGAGCAACAAAGCAAAATCAGCAAATCACCACTGGCAGGATCTTCGCTCCTCGCTCCTTCTCCTCCGCTCCTCGCTCCTTCTCCTCTGCCCCTCGCTCCTTCTCCTCTGCCCCTCACTCCTTCTCCTCTGCCCCTCGCTCCTTCTCCTCTGCTCCTCGCTCCTTCGCCTCCTCTTCTCCTTCACTCCTTCGCTCCTTGCTCCCTGCTCCTCTGTTCTGCAGCTCCTTCGCTCCTTCCTCCTCCGCTCCTTCGCTCCACAGCTACTCCCATCCCCTCTGCGCCATCTCCTCTGCTCCATCTCCTTTCCTGCGGAACGGAAGGAGAAAAGCCAAGAGCTCATGGCACTGGTTCGCTTCACTGCTGCTCATTGCACCAAATTGCATCCCGTGCCAACAAGTGATTCAGAACGAGTACAAAGCGAATGCGGCAATGACCATCAATTGACAGCAGCAAAGGAGATACTCACTGGCAGTGGCAGGGGATTCTCTTTTCCTCCGCTTCTTCTCTGCTGCTCTTCCCTTCTGATGCATCTCCTGCGGAATGGGAAGGAATAAAAAGCCTATGAGCACCCAGTGATTGCACCCAGTGCCAAGAAGCGATTCAAAATCGATGCCAAGCAAATAAGGCACCGACCATCCATCCAAAAGAACAAGACATTGAGACACTCACTGGCAGTGGCAATGGCAGAGAATCCTCCTTAGCCTCCTCCCTCCGCTGCTCCGCTGCTCCTCCTCCTCCTCTCCTCCTCCTCTGCACCTCCTCTGCTCCTCCTCTCCTCCTCCGCTCCTCCTCCTCTCCTCCTCCTCCCCTCCTCCCCTCCTCCCCTCCTCCTCTCTTCCTCCTCTCCTCCTCCTCCCCTCCTCCTCTCCCCCTCCTCTCCTCCTCCTCTCCTCCTCATCCTCTCCTCCTCCTCTCCTCCTCCGCTCCACCTTTGCCGCTCCTCTGCTCCTGCGCTTCCCCTCTGCTCCTGCGCTCCTCCTGCTCTGCTAAATCAGACAAACAAAGCAACATTAGTGTGTGTGGAAAACGGAAAGCAGAAATGGAACAAGACTTACCGAGGTTGGCTGGAGTCTTCATGCCTTGGTCCCCTGTTTGAAACACGAAGCAACACACAAAAAACATTAGTACGAGTAGGAAAACAGCAAGCAGAAATGGAACAAGACTCACGGAGGGGTTCTCGAGCCTTCAATGTCTTGCTGGCGGCTAAAACAAGAAGACACACAGGAACATGCAACATTAGGCATTACACAAAACAAAAGAATGAAAAGCAGACTGCAACTTACAGCGGGTCCCGTGTTGCTGCTGCGTTCCGCTGTTGCGCCGCCCTTAGTGTTGCCCCCGCGCTGTTGCTGTACCTAGTAGAGAGGGATGCAAAGTATTGATCCTTTGCCCCCCAGGGAGCAAAGCATGCGCCTCACTTGAAGCTGCCCCTTCCTCTAGTCTTGCTTCAGGACCAGCTGTGCAATTTTGCTCACTGCAAAACTTGCAGTGAGGAACAAGCAAAAGAGTTTTGAGATGAGTCGTCTCTCAAAACCCTGTTTTTGCTCACTTCAGCGAATCTGCAGTGAGGCGAAAGAGAGAGAGAGAGAGGGAGTGAGTTTCAAGACGTCGCTTGAAACTGACAAGAGAAGAGAGTGAGTTTTGAGATGCATCTCAAAACTCAGAGAAGAGGAGAGAGGAGGAACGGAACTCTGCAGTGCACTGCAGGACACAACAGAACTGCCACCGGCAGCTCACAACTGGATTTGAGGCGCCTCAAACAAGCAAACGAGGTCCTCACACCCCACTCTCACTCTCACACTAACTCTCACTCGCTCCTCCCTCACCCTCACCCTGCAGCCTGCTGCAGTTCTCAACACTCCGCTCGCCTCTCACTCTCGCTCTCCTCACATCCTATCTATGCTCCTCCCAGCAGGTCCCAGCCGTCTCCCTCCACTGCTGCTGCTGCTACTGCTGCTTCCCGCTGCTGCTGCTGCCACCGCTGCTGCTGCTGCCACCACTGGTGTCACTGCGGGCCTCTCTTCTCCTGCAACTGCTGCTACCACCGCTGCTGTCACTGTTGGTTTTCTCTGCTGCTGCAACCGGAAGTGTCATTGTGGGCCTCTCTTCTGCTGCAACTGCTGCTGCCACCGCTGGTATCACTGCGGGCCTCTCTTCTGCTCCCACTGCTGCTGCCACCGCTGCTGTCACTGCTGGTTTTCTCAGCTGTTGCCACTGGTAGTATCATTGCGGGCCTCTCTTCTCCTGCAACCGCTGCTGCCACCGCTGGTGTCATCGTTGCTTATCTCTTCTGGTGTCATTGCGGGCCTCTCTTCTGCTCCCACTGCTGCTGCCACCGCTGCTGTCACTGCGGCCCTCTCTTCTGCTCCCACTGCTGCTGCCACCGCTGGTGACTCTGCTGGTTTTCTCTTCTGCTACAACCGGTGATGTCATTGCGGGCCTCTCTTCTACATCCACTGCTGCTGCCACCGCTGCTGGCCTTTCTTTTGTTGCCAGTGCTGCTAATGCCAGTCCACCTGTCTCCTCTCCTCCCTCTGACTCCAGCGTTGGCGGGAAGCGCAGCTCCAGCTCATGCCGTTGACTCACCTGGCGTTGCTGGCGTCAGCTGCTCTCCTCCCCTTCGCCATCTCCTCTGCTATCCTCCCCTTCGCCATCTCCTCTGCTCCAGTTCAACCGCCTCCTCTCCTCTCATCCCCTGCTCCAGCTCATGCCGTTGACTGGTTTTCAGTCCTCCCAACACCAGCGCCAGGGAGTGAGAGGACTTCACCAGATCCTGTCTTCTGGTGTTGCTGTTGATTCCAGTTCTGCTGCTGCCACAGCTGCTCTGCAGCCGCTGCCGCCCTCCTCCTGCTGTCTCTTCCAATGCTTCTCCTTGTCGCTGCTTCTCCAACTTCCCAACCGCGCCGTGACGTTCCCTGCACAGAGTAGAGGTGCATTGAACAGAGTAAGTAATCAGCGTAGACGGGAAGACTTTGAAGTCGACTCAATCAGAGTATTTGTTACGACTCGATGAAGTGAATTGGCAGAGCAAAGATAAACGAATACAAGGATGAGAATAGACAGCGGAAACACGAGGAAGAACACAAAAGCCATAGAAGCAACGAAGGCAGATGGCGAATGAGGAGGGAGAGGGGAGGGAAAGCAGAAGGAAGGAAGGGGGGGTGTCACGGCTCCAGTTACTTACTTGTTTCTCCAATCGCTGCTGCTCCTGTCGCTGCTGCCGCTGCAGATGCTGCTCCTGTAGCTGCTTCTCCGTTTCCCCAGCAACGCCTCACCATCCCTGCACAAGGAATCGCGAGTTGCAAACCCACAGTGAAGGTTAGTAGCTGGGTAGAGGTTACAAGTTGACGGAGAGAAAATAAATGACACAATGCAAGGAGAAGAACGACGTACAATGACACAATACAAGTATGAGGAGGGAGGAGAGGAGGAGGGGGAGGGGGAGGAGGAGGAGGAGGAGGAGGAGGAGGAGGAGGAGGAGGAGGAGGAGGAGGAGGAGGAGGAGGAGGAGGAGGAGGAGGAAGAAGAGGAGGTGGAGGAGGAGGAGGAGTAGGAGGAGGAGGAGGAGGAGGAGGAGGAGGAGGAGGAGGAGGAGGAGGAGGAGGAGGAGGAGGAGGGAGGGCTGTTACTGGCAAGGCTACTCCCACAAGCCACAGACGCAAGTGTTTTTACACTCACACTTGGTCTTCGTCGTTCCAGCGAGGGGCAAAGGCCGGATGAACTTACGTTGGGCCATTTACCCCGAAGTCCCCAAGGGCTAACCGCATGCATGCACTTACGCTGGGGACATTTACCCCGAAGTACCAAAGGGTTAACCAGGGAGGGGGGAATACCGCAGTAGAAGTTTTGGGGAGAATACCGACAGTGGGGAAGGTCTGTGACCCGTGGGGTTCGCGTTAACCAGCAACGACAGAGGAGGAGGAGAGGAGGGAGGAGGAGGAGGAGGAGGAGGAGGAGGAGGAGGAGGAGGAGGAGGAGGAGGAGGAAGAGGAGGATAGGCAGAGAGGATGCAATGATAGGGTGAGGACGGAGCATGAAAGGTTGTTAATTGGCGTTGGTGCTGCACCCTCCACGACCATGACGCTCCGCGCCTCTCCCCTAATGCATCTGCGCCTCCCCCCTGATGCATCCGCGCCTCCCCCCTGATGCATCCCTTTTCCGCAATGTGTCATGAGCCTCTGCAACCCCTGCACGGACGGAGAAAGTAGGAATGAGATGAGATGGACGAGCCAGATGAGATGGACCGAAAGCGATTGCAGATTGGCTGAAAGCGATTGCGTAGAGACCAGCGAGACTAGTAGATCAGCGAGATGAGATGGATAAAAAACGACTGCAGAATCGAGACAGATATTGGAAAACAAGCGTCCAGATTGAACAAAATCGAGACAGAAAACGGTAACTCACTGCAAACGGAAAACGTTTACAGCAGCCATTGAACAGGAGTGCGTCAACGAACTCCTTCGTTCCCCACGTTTCCAGCGATAGGAAATCGAAGGAGATGCTCCTGCACGCACGGAGAAAGTAGGAATGCGGTGCGAAACGATTAGATTAGGAAGCAACTGCAAATTGACTGCGAAAGAATCGAGCGTGTAGATAGAAGGAGCGTGACTGCGGCTCCTTGAAAGAGTGAGATACGCCATGACACGAAAACGGAACGCCTTGATACGAAACGAGTAGACCAGCCACAATCCGTCACGAGAGCAACTGCAGAAACGGGAAACGCTAACTCGTTGAAACGGGAAACGCTAACTCGTTGAAACGGGAAACGATATCTCGCTGAAACGGGAAACGCTAACTTGTTGAAACGGGGAACGCTAACTCGTTGAAACGGGAAACGCTCACTCACACATTCATTGGCCACGATCATCGGCGTTCTCCTTCGTCCTCCGCCGTCTTCCGTCTCGCGAGCTGCTCGTGCGCCGTACGTCGCGATGCTTCGCGAGCTGCTCCGCCGTCGCGAGCTCTACCGTCGTCATCAGAGTCGGGCGTCCACGCGCCGTCGTCGGTAGTAGTAGTAGTAGTAGTAGTAGTAGTAGTAGTAGTAGTAGTAGTAGTAGTAGTAGTAGTAGTAGTAGTAGTAGTAGTAGTAGTAGTAGTAGTAGTAGTAGTAGTAGTAGTAGTAGTAGTAGTAGTAGTAGTAGTAGTTGTTGTTGTTGTTGTTGTTGTGGCCTTGGTGCTCGTCGCAACGCTCGACGGCTTCAGGAGCTCCTCAGCAGTAACGTCGTGAAGAATACGCTCAACAGTAACGTCGCGAAAAATATCCTCAACAGTAACGCCGCGAAAAATACGCTCAGCAGTAGCGTCGCGAAGAATATCATCAGCACTAACACCGCGAAGAATACGCTCAGCAGTAACGTCGCGAAGAATACGCTTAGCAGTAACGTCGCGAAGCAGAAACGTCGCGAAGCAGAAACGTCGCGAAGCAATAACCTCGCGTCGTCAAATTTTGAGGTCGAGAGAAGCTCCTGTAAACTCGTGAGCGATGCAAGCTCCTTCTTGTACGTCGCACAAGAAGATTTGTCTTATAGGGAAACGCTGACGCCCGTCCCTAATATTGAAGGTCGCAATAATCGTTGCGGTTGCTCCACGCTGTTAAGGTCGCAGCAACTTGTGGTTGACTAAGCTCCACGTCGATTGATCTGCTGTACTGAGGATCTGACGAAACGAATGAACATGAAACGAATAAGCCATTTCGCCAGAACCTGACGGTCGTCCAGTCAGGATGAAACGAATTGTAATACTAAGCTTTCTAACGAGCCTGAGGTGTCGCACTGATTCTAGTAGTAGCGCTGCGATGATGGCCAAGAAGGCCCAAATTGGTTCAACCTTCCTAACCTCGAGTGAGTGTGGCCCTCGCACCCAAAATCTTGGCCAATTGCATTGCTCGCCCCAACCAACCTTCCTAACGTTGAACTTCTTGGCCCGCGGGTTTTAAACGTCGCACAGATGGCGCTGCGACGATGGCTGAAAACTTCACTATAAATCGTCGTAGCAATGCTTAACCTCCGGGAAAACTGTAGCATCACGTCTCGTCGAGCACGGAAATGATCCAATCATGAAACTGATCTATGAGTCATACTAGCGATGATGAAACAGATCTTTCTCACTAGGCTCTAAGATCCTGCTATCATCCTCCTTGAAAATCTTAGCCTTAACGCGCTTCGGGAATGCCACGTCACGATAATTACCTCCACGGTACAATAATCTAAGGAAGCCATGGCTACGGATCAATCGAGTTAGAGAACGTGACAAGATTCGTTTCTGAGACAAAGCCTGCATAGGGAATGGCTGTCAGAATGAGAACGAGGGAATGATTGAATTACCAAGCAGGTGGGTACAAGTAGGAAAACCCTAAAGTGTTGTACCCCATATTGTCTACCCCACTACAGCCTACACAGACTATAGCATATATGTTTGACACACCCCCATAGGCAAAGTGGGGGAGAACAAGAGGTCACAAGACCGGTCAAGAGAGGCAAAGTAAGCTCAGGGTGGATCACGAAGTCACCACGCATTCCGAGCACAAGCAAATGGCCACAAGGCCAGTTCACATGCAGAGTTATATAAAGGAGAACAAGCAATAAAGTGATCACAACATAGCAAGTGTAAGCATGCAGGCATATGTATAGAGATCACAGTACAAGCAGAGTCAAGAAGTAAGCAAGTGAGGCACAGTAGGCACAAGGCCTAGAACAGTACAGAAACGCTGATGATCACAAGGCTGAAGTGCCTTGGTGAAGACATCAGCAGTGTTGGCCTGAGTGGCCACGTAAGCAAGACGAAGCTGACCACGCTGCTGCAAATCTCGAGCAAGGAAGTAGCGCAGAGCGATGTGCTTCGTTCTGTGCTCCAGTCTGTGCTCCTGACACAAGGCAATCATGGCCTTGTTGTCGACGTACAGCACTGGAGGAGAACGAGGCACCTCTCCCAGGTCGGTCAGCAGGTAGGTGAGCCAGCGTAACTCCTGTGCAGCCATGGCCCCGGCGTAGATCTCAGCCTCACAGCTGGAGCTGAGAACAGAAGAAGAGCGGGTAGACCGCCAAGAAACAGAGCCGGAGCCAAGGCTGAAGGTGTAACCCTGTGACGACCGCTGCGTAGCCAAGTCGTCAGCCCAAGAAGCTTCTGCGTGACCAGTGAGGACAACTCGAGCCCGTCCTCCAAGCACAAGCCCCATGCCCGACGTACTGCACAAGTAGCGCAACACCCTCTTAGCGGCATCCATGTGCTCCTTCCTGTGTCGGCCAGGAGCGACATAGCGTGCTAGGATGCTAAGAGGGTAGGCAAGGTCAGGTCGAGTGCAGGTCATCAGGTACATGAGGCAGCCCACAAGCTCTGGATACGGGCCACTCGGCTCTACGGACTCGTCCGAAGGTGGAGCTGAGAGCGAGTGACCGGTAGGCAGAGGAGTGGACTGTGGCGAGGAGTACGTGAAGCGGAAGCGCTGAAGGACCTGCTGCACCATGTGTGATTGAGTCAGGGTAATGGTGCGCTGTGCTCTGTCCCGGGTGATCCGCAAGCCAAGATAGCTTGTCAGCTCACCCAGGTCTGTGCACGTGTGTCTCTTCTGCAGCTCCGACTTCACGTGGGCGAGTGCCTCAGTGTCAGAAGTAGCAAAGACCAAGTCGTCTACGTACACGAGAACGTAGAACGGCGGCAGAGTGGTGTCGGTGCGTAGAAACAGCGACGGGTCAGCAGTAGAAGGAGCAAACCCAAGAGCAGCAAGAGTAGTCCTCAGTGTGTCGTGCCACTCACGGGGTGCCTGGCGGAGACCGTAGACTGGCCGCCGGAGGCTCCACTGGGTACCAGCAGGAAACGACCCAGTGAAGCCAGGTGGGCGGCACAGCCAGATCTCCTCGTGCAGGCTGCCCTGTAGGAAAGCAGTGCTGAAGTCAAGAGAGTGAAGCTCGTAGTCACGCTGAGCGGCGACGTGCAGCAGAACCCGAAGAGTGGTCATCTTCGAAGTAGGGGAGAAGGTCTGGAAGAAGTCAAATCCCTCTCGGTGACTGAAGCCTCGTGCAACGTAACGCGCCTTGAAGACAGGCGGAGAACCCGGCGGCCGCTTCACCCTGAAAATCCACATGCCACTGACGATGTTCGCCCCAGGCGGGGGAGCCTCGTCGACGTAGGTGCCTGTGGACTTCCAGGATGCCATCTCTACGTCCATGGCTGTCTGCCACTGAGAGGAGTAGGGACCCTCTATCGCCTCTGCGTAAGAGCGCGGGGTCGGGATGTCTGGTGCATCCGGGTCTCCCTCAGGGGCAATCAGCATGGACACGAGATGAGGTAAAGCAGCAGCAAAGCACTCAAACTCCTCCTGTCTGTCCTCAAGGACGTCTGTGCCAAGAGCACACTCACCCCCGACGGACGGAGGACAGACAGACTCAGACTCAGCAACAAGACTAGCGGCGTAGTCTAGACGACAGGCGGCAGCAAAGTCAACAAGCTCAGTAACTAGAGCAGACGCAGCAGTGGACTCAAACGAAGGGTCAGTGACAACAGTGGCGAGGAAACGCGTGACAGTAGGACTAGCAGCACGAAGGGAGTCAGACTCCG